AAGAAGGCAACCACGGCCACCAAGAAGATTCGATGAACTTGGGGACTCGGGGTTTGCTTACAACTTAACTGAAGATGGGGGTTTTCTTGAACCTATGAGTTATCAAGAAGCAATGTCAGACGCAGATAGTGATCTATGGAAAGAAGCAGCAGATGAAGAGATTGATTCACTTAATAAGAACCACACCTGGGATCTAGTTGATAGACCTGAGAAGCAGAGAATAATTGGTTGTAAGTGGGTATTCAAAAGAAAGCTTGGGATTCCAGGGGTTGAAAAACCAAGATTCAAAGCTAGACTTGTCGCTAAGGGTTATTCTCAAAGGGAAGGAATAGATTTTCAAGAGATCTTCACACCGATTGTCAAGCATGTTTCAATCCGACTAATGCTATCTGCAGTCGCTCATTTTGATTTGGAACTGGAACAGCTCGATGTAAAAACAGCATTTCTACATGGCACTCTAGACAAAGTTATTTACATGAGCCAACCAGAAGGATATGTAGACAAGAAATCACCTGAGAAAGTTTGTCTACTAAGGAGATCTCTGTATGGTTTAAGACAATCCCCAAGACAGTGGAATCAGAGGTTTGATTCGTTCATGAAAAACACAGGGTACTCAAGAAGTTTGCGAGACAACTGCGTATACTTCAAGCAAACTGAAGAAGAAGAGAAGACATTCTTACTCTTATACGTCGATGATATGCTGATTATATCCAAGAACAAAGAGACAGTCAAGAGGTTGAAAGAAAGTCTGAGTGCCGAGTTTGAGATGAAAGATTTAGGGCCTGCAAGAAGAATTCTGGGAATGGAGATAACAAGAGACAGAGACAGGAACGTCTTAGAGTTATCTCAAGAAGGGTATTTGAGGAAAGTACTAAAGACATTCAGAATGGAAGATTGCAAGCCGGTTAAGACACCACTAGGACCGCATATGAAGCTTAAAGCAGCAACAGAAGAGGAAAAGGAGAAGTATGCAGAACAAATGAAGTCAATACCTTATGCTAACGCTGTTGGGAGTATAATGTATTCAATGATTGGATCAAGACCTGACCTCGCATATCCAGTTGGTGTTATAAGCAGGTTCATGAGCAAGCCCTTAATGGATCATTGGCAAGCGGTTAAGTGGGTGTTGCGTTACATAAAAGGATCAATCGGCTCAAGGTTACAGTACAAAAGGGAAGGTGAATTTGTAGTTTCAGGGTACTGTGATTCAGATTACGCCTCAGATCTTGACAGAAGGAGATCAATCTCCGGTTATACGTTCACTGTAGGCGGTAATGTAGTCAGTTGGAGGTCTTGTCTGCAAGGAGTCGTCGCCCTATCCACTACAGAAGCTGAATACATAAGTTTGACAGAGGCAGCAAAGGAAGCCGTTTGGCTAAAGGAACTGATGAATGAGTTGGGATTCACACAAGGCCCCGTTGACATATTCTGTGATTCCCAAAGTGCATTAGCTCTGGCTAAGAATGCAGTACACCATGAAAGGACCAAGCACATACAGACAAGGTTTCACTACATCCGAGATGCAATAAGTGATGGAGAAGTGAGAGCTTTAAAGATATCTACGGTCCATAACCCTACGGATATGCTTACTAAGGTGCTACCGGTCAACAAGTTTCTGAGCGCTCTGGAGAGGCTCAGGATAACCAGCGCCTGATCCGATGATCAGGGTCCGAGATGGAAATCAAGAAACGCTAGAGATGGAAAGTAAAAGGTATCGTTGACACTAAGGCAAGGTGGAGTTTTGTGAGTTTTATGCCTAAGTGTCACGAAGACTCTAACCCGAGCAGAAGGTTTCAGTTATCAGTTTGAAGAGAAGTCACGCAGAGCTCACGTGATCTTCTTATACAACTCATGAGGACAAAAGAGTAATTAACCTCTGTCTAAAGTGAAGTGGTGTTTGTCTTCTTCCTCTGTCGAAGAAACAGAGTACGGAGGTTGGATGCAGAATCAGCAGAGCCGTTTTGTCGGCACCACGCGTAAGAAGTTATATAAAAGGTGAAGCAGACTGAAACGTTAGGGTTAAGAGTGGTTGTAGAAGAGAGAGGCGAATGTGGGTTTTACACAAAAGTCTCTAAGGGTTAGTTGTAACCAAGAACACCATATCTAGTGGATTTCCGAGGAAAAGTCTCGGCCAGACGTAGCGATTCCATTATGGATCGTGAACTGGATAAATTTGTTTGTGTCATTTACTTTATGCTAAACACACGAGTGATCGATCGAACTTAGATAACGAGTGTTAGTGAGAAGATTCCGCGTAAAACATAAACAAGGTTCAGGCTTTAAACCAACAATATTAATATCAGAAGAACAATAAAAACATATTTCCTCATTGGCTGAAATAATAATAATGTATAGATGCATAGTTGAGACGTTGAAAGCACAGAGGGAAAAGCAATGGCATGTGTTTTATGAGAAAAGACTAGACGTAGCCTCCATTATTATCGTTGCATTATATTTATAATACATAACAGTATTCTACCTCTTTTACATTACATACACTGCATCCATATTAAATGCACTCCCCATATTATTATTAATCTTTCAGTTCCTATGAGATTTATCTTCGTTGCAAACTTCACTTTTATCGAGCTTTGTATGAAAACGGCAATATAAGAACAGAAACACATAAAAAAAAGTAATGGCTTTTGAACCTCATGTTTATGGGTTGTGTGGGTGAGTGGAAAATCCTTTATTACTAAATTAGAAATTTCTGATTATTTTTTCGATGTCGATCGATTATATAGCTGTTTACTTTCATATACAGGTGTTATAACAAAATCTTCCTGTGTATTATAAGATCATACATGCTTCTAGCTCTATCACATCCATTCAGGTTTAATTCAGTAAACCTCTCCGGCTATCCCATTTGCGAAAATTAAAGTTCAAATCAATGATTATAAATTTATAATTGATTATACTAATGAATGATGACGGAATCCTGGGAAAAAAACATCAAATAAAACAAGAAAATTAATAAGCAATCAATAAATAATAATTTCACTAAAAGCTGCATGCAAATGACAGAATTTAGAAGTAATCAGTAGAATCAAGTGGATGTCGGAATAATAAACAGTGAAATGACGGAATATAGCAAAAAGATAGAGTTGAATATAGTTTATGTAAGATTACTGTGAGATTCTCTAAGCCTGTAATGTGGTTAACTAGATCATGAGTTATTCATTGATCTAAGTTATATTTTGTTACGTGTGAGCAGTATATAAAAACAAATAAGGTTTCTCACATATTGATGTTTGTATTCGCTTAGTTTAAGTTTATAATGAGTATCGGGAAACCTCACGTTCAATTGAACCGTGGAGAATATATTCAAATATTCATGCAGCAAAACCAAAAGTTTTAATTTTGAGATGAAATTGATTATACGTCAAACGACTAATTAATAGTAAAGGTTTAATGTCGAAAAGGGGTTAATTTAAGACAGGCGTGAGCATAAGGCATCATAAACAAATGATGGTGAACACTGACTATGGGGTCCAAACCTCCATAATTGCAACCTTGTGCTTCTTCATCTTCCTTTTTCTCCTTTCTTCATAAATTTCTCTATATATATTATTATTAATTTTCTTATAACTTTTTCCGCCTCTTTTCAGTAGACACAAGTTTTTCCCCTTAGTTTTCTACTTTTCTTTGTGTACAACTTATTGGAATGATTTTGGAATGTGAAAACAGTTTCCAGTCCGTAGAATAACTTTGGTCGGTGAAAAAAGAAAAGAATAATTTTGGTCGTTTTCAGGCCTCTCTATCTTGTTGTTTGTTCTTGAATATCGTAAAATAAAATGATTGATGACTTTAAGATAATGATCTTAATCAGTCTATCTCTATAAAGTAATAAATAATCTTAGTTCTGACAATAATCTTTATTTGTTCTTGTATGTTTTTTGCTCTTTAATTAGGAAAAACTTTCGTATATATCTCTAATCAGAGAAGAAGAATGACTTAATCCTGCTCCAAAGGTTAAAAATCATGTTTAATACAATTAAGCGAAGGTCAACTTAATATTGAGGACGAGATTGTTGATTAATAATTAAAATGTGCGCAGTTGGTGAAGAGAAAGAAGAGATTGTCGTCCAGGTTTTATGCTCATAAAGCAACACATGAGTGTTTCTACCTAACAGCCTATTTCTATACACTAGCTTTTTTGGGCCATTAAGTGGACTCACCTAATTTTTCCATATTTTAACGTTACGATCTTAATTTATGCTAATTTTCTTTTTAAGAAACATGTGAATCACCAATTGTCGCATGGATTCAACTTGCCATGGTTTTGTAGTTGACTAATAAAATCATACTAATATACAAGGGTGACATTTATCGTAAAAGTTATATGAAAATTGGAACTATATTAAAAAAATAGATAATCTGTAATTAGTACATACATAGATAAAGTATTTCAAAAATATATCTTATTAACATTTTTCGACACAGGTTTTCTTCATCAGACTAGTAAAATACAAATAAACAACTTTTTATAAATATTTCAAAATAGTATGTGTTCTCTTTTTTCAGAGAATTAATTTTAAGCTCAATCTAAAACAACCAAACTGAAAAACTTTAATAACAACTGGATTGGGGATCCCTGAAAGCCATTTATGATGATGTCATTACGCAATTCAAGCCCAAAATATCAATACGCAAGTCAAGTCCACAATAATGAGCCTATTTATACCCTGGCTTCGGTGATCATTATGTGAATAAGGATCACATTCTACGCATGCATACACATCCACGCATAGATTTTATTCGATCACCACCCTCGAAGTATGGTCACAGCTACAACTTGTAAAACGAAAATATTTAAATTAGTTAATTCTCTTCCTTAACCGGGAATTTGTCTTTTAAACCGTAAGTCATCTCTCACCGGCCCTCACTAAACTTGAGTTAACACTGCAATAACGAAAGAGTGACTAATTACCTCTCACTTTTCTTTGTTTTTTTTTTTTGTTTTGTTTTTCTGTTGGTTCAGTTAGTTGATGGAATTATGTTATTACAGTACAAGAAAATAAAAAAGTTATGAGAAGAACATTGAGCGGAAGGGGAATACAAAATACAAAAAAAAAAACAGAAAAACCATTTTTTCTTTTCTTTGGGGTTTTATTTCCTCGGATGTGTATCTTCCGGTTTAGCCGTCCCTGTGGCCGCCTTAGCTACATCACTAGCACTAGCCTCCGGTTTCTTCTTAACATACATAACAGTATACATGACTGCACCAGAGATAGCTAACCCGGCAATAGCCATGGTGGTGTAGCTGTAAGGCAAGTTACGGCGTTGGTGGAGAACACCACCGGGATTAGTCCCGGGCGGCCTCTTTGATGACTCAACTCCGGCGGCTTTCACTCCCTCCGGACTCATCTTTGTCGTATCTGCCGTTTTCCTCCAGTCATTTTCTCCAGCCATTTTGTGTCTTCTGAGTCTTCTCTTCAATTTCTTCTTAAATTTCAGCCGAGGACTATACTAACCAAAAAGGAAACCGCTTTGTGTTTAGCTATGAGGGTTTTGGAGTTAGTATGAGTCATGAAGACACGTAGTGTCTTTGAGTTTTATAATGTGTCTCAGTAACGGACACCTAGCTGATTCTGTGTTGTTCTGTACTAAACATATTAGACAGGTGTCATGCGTTCTTAGCCAGGTGCCAGTTTGGGTATAATTTAATCTTGAAAAAAATTGGGAGGAGATGTGACTTTTAAATTGGAAAAGGCTATGACTGTATCCGCACGTATGATATTTGTGTTATATGTATTTTTTTTTTTTTTTTGTCTAAGTTGCAACCACGGTCGTTTTGTTTATGGAAGGTCTTTTCTCAACCTTCTGCCTCTCGTGGGCTTTTGGACGATATGTCTTTGGTTCATATTTTTCAACTTTTAGGCCCAGATTATAGAAGCCCACGGTTTCTCTGGTAAACAAAAGAGGGTAAAAGATAGAAACAGCTAAGCTTGACCAGTCTTCATAGAAGACCGTGAAATTCACTTTCTTATCATCATCAGGCTTTGTCTCTTCCCTAGCCGTTACGTCACCTTTAGTATCTCCCCAACGGCTACATCAACATTTTCCTTTACATTTTCTTTTTCCTAAAACTTCAACGGTTAGTTTCCAAATCTCTCTAGCTCTATAAAAACTACACTAGATCCATTCACATCCATTCAAACACACACACATACACACACTAATACTTTCCTTAGTTGATAAATTTAGTACCAAAAAAACTGTTTAATTTTGTAACCAAAATGGCTTCTTCTTCCCTTCTAATTACCATCTTCCTCTGCATCTCCTTTGTCTTGTCGGTAAATGCAAATGAGGTTACCGTCGGCGGAAAATCCGGTGACTGGAAGATCCCTCCTTCCTCTGCTTACTCCTTCAACGAATGGGCTCAAAAGGCTCGCTTCAAAGTCGGCGACTTTCTCTGTATACCTTCTACTAATTTCCATTTTCTAGACATTTTTGTGTACTCTTCGATATAGTACTTTGTTTCTGACTTTGTCACATGTTTTATTTCAGTTTTCAGGTACGAAGCAGGTAAAGACTCGGTGCTGCAAGTAGCACGAGAGGCTTACGAGAAATGCAACACAACGAGCCCGAAAGCCAGCTACACCGACGGGAACACTAAAGTGAAGCTAGAACAAGCCGGTCCGGTCTACTTCATCAGTGGAACAGAGGGTCACTGTCAAAAGGGTCAGAAGCTACGAGTAGTCGTCGTCACTCCTCGTAACTCTGCTTTCTCTCCGGCTCCTTCGCCATCCGACGGTCCCGCCGTGGCTCCTACTAGTGGTGCTGCTAAGCTCACCGGCGTCTTCGGTGTCCTCGGCCTTGCTCTTGCCTTCTGTGCTTTCTTCTGAGAGAGTTTTTTTCTTTTAAAATGGAAAGTTTAGTCGGAATTCAATTCTATTTATTAATTTTCGATTAGGAAGCAGAGATCTTTGTTCTTTTGCTACTCTTGTTACTACTAAATTAATTTTATTATTTATCGAAATTGAATCTTCCTCTTGCTCAGTTCTTGGTAAATTAGCTAATCGATTTATCAACAGTTAAATGACGAAGACCAAAAATATTAATTAGAATGTTAAATACAGCCCAAAACTACAAGAAACACCTCTACCTCTACTTAAAATGGGATAAGTGAAAATGAAAATGGCCTATCTAAATGGGCCACTATTGGGTCTCAAGATATTTTGGGAGGGAAAAAACAACGGTGAGGAGCTAGTGGAGCGAGCGAGTTACTGGGATTTTATCCATTCGGCAAGTTCTTTTTAATCATCGGAAAATCTCCGGGTTCACCAAAATCAGCTCCGTTGTGTTTTCGACCGGTGAACGGAGACGTATCCGAATCGTCATGACTATTCAGTATGTGTATGTCCTCGTGTTTTGTTAGTCGCTCCTTCGCCACTTGAAATGTGATGAGCTATCATCGTTAATCTCTGTTTCGCTTCAGTTTTCCTGGGAGTTGCTTTGCTTGGCTTATTTTGACAAAATGGCAGCATTACTCTGCTCGACGAGTCTGTGCGGTGATTTCACGGTCAGTGATGCTTCTCTGGTTAGTAACATCAAAGGCGGCAAATTTTGTTGGAGACGCGGCAAATTAGTCACTGGTGAATCAAAGTTCCACGCTTTGAAGGTTGGGTCTGTGTCACATCGGAAGAAACATTGGAGAAAGACCATGAGATGTAGCGTAGTCTCCATGAAAGGTTCTGATTTTTCGGTTTCTATGATAAACAAGACCTCGAAATCTAACCCATCGTCGGGTGAAGTTACCAAGGTTTTAATGTCGCTTCCTGATACTGATTCTGCGTTTTCTTATTTCAAATCAGTGGCTGCTAATTCGAATTTAGTCCACACCACTGAGACTTGTAACTACATGCTTGAAGCTTTGAGGGTTGATGGCAAAATCGAGGAAATGGCTTATGTGTTTGATTTGATGCAGAAAAGGATCATAAAGAGGGATATTAATACTTTCTTGACTGTGTTCAAGTGTCTTTCTGTGAAGGGTGGATTGCGGCAAGCGCCCTATGCACTTAGGAAGATGAGAGAATCTGGTTTTGCGTTGAATGCGTATTCATACAATGGGTTGATCCATCTTTTGCTTAAGTCTAGGTTTTGCACAGAGGCTATGGAGGTTTATAGAAGAATGATCTTGGAAGGTTTTAGGCCTAGCTTGCAGACTTACTCTTCACTTATGGTAGGATTGGGGAAAAGAAGGGACATTGAAGCTGTGATGGCTTTGCTTAAAGAGATGGAGACTTTGGGGTTAAAGCCGAATGTCTATACGTTTACAATATGTATTCGGGTGCTTGGTAGGGCGGGAAAGATTAATGAAGCGTATGCAATTCTGAAGCGGATGGATGATGAAGGATGTGGACCTGACGTGGTTACTTACACTGTTCTTATTGATGCTCTTTGTACTGCTAGGAAGCTCGACTGTGCTAAGGAGGTTTTCGCAAAGATGAAAACAGGAAAACACAAACCGGATCGTGTAACTTACATTACGTTGCTGGATAGGTTTAGTGATAACAGAGATCTGGATTCAGTGAGGCAGTTTTGGAGTGAAATGGAGAAAGATGGTCATGCACCTGACGTTGTAACCTTTACCATTCTCGTGGATGCTTTGTGTAAAGCTGGGAATTTTGGTGAAGCATTTGATACATTGGATGTGATGAGGGAGCAAGGTGTCTCACCGAACCTACATACATACAACACATTGATTTGCGGTCTTCTTAGAGTTCACAGGTTAAATGATGCACTTAAAGTTTTTGATAGTATGGAGTCTTTGGGGGTTAAGCCTACTGCCTATACGTACATCGTTTTCATTGATTATTATGGAAAGTCTGGAGATTCCGTCAGTGCTCTTGAGACCTTTGAGAAAATGAAAACCAAAGGAATAGCTCCGAACATTGTAGCATGTAATGCGTCTCTCTACAGTCTAGCTAAAGCGGGAAGGGACCGAGAAGCGAAACAAATCTTCTATGGCTTGAAAAACATAGGGCTTGCCCCTGATTCAGTAACGTATAACATGATGATGAAGTGCTACAGTAAGGTTGGGGAAATAGACGAAGCCATCAATCTGCTTACTGAGATGGTAGAGAACGGTTGTGAACCTGATGTAATCGTTGTTAATTCTCTGATCAATACGCTTTTCAAAGCTGATAGAGTAGATGAGGCGTGGAAGATGTTTACGAGAATGAAGGAAATGAAGCTCAAGCCTACAGTTGTGACTTACAACACATTGCTCGCAGGTTTAGGCAAAAATGGAAAAATTCAGGAGGCGATTGAATTGTTCGAGGGGATGGAGATGAAAGGCTGTCCACCTAATACAATAACTTTCAACACTCTCTTTGATTGTCTTTGCAAAAACGACGAGGTAGTTCTAGCCTTGAAGATGTTGTTCAAGATGATGGACATGGGTTGTGTCCCGGATGTTTTTACTTACAATACGATTATTTATGGTTTAGTGAAGAATGGTCAAGTCAAAGAGGCCATGTGTTTCTTCCACCAGATGAAGAAATTGGTGTACCCTGATTTTGTTACCCTCTGCACTCTTCTTCCAGGTGTTGTCAAGGCTGGTTTAATCGAAGACGCTTACAAAATCATCGCCAACTTTCTTCACAACTGTGCAGACCAACCGACCGTTCTTTTCTGGGAAGATTTGATGGGATCTATCTTGGCTGAAGCTGGAATAGACAATGCCGTTTCATTTTCTGAGAGATTGATAGCTAATGGGATTTGTCGAGATGGTGAATCGATCCTGGTGCCAATAATCAGATATTGTTTTAAACATGGTAATAATCCTTCTGATGCTCGTACTTTATTTGAGAAATTTACAAAAGATCTTGGTGTCCAACCCAAACTCCCGACCTATAATCTGCTAATCGGTGGGCTTCTTGAAGCTGATATGATTGAAATAGCACAGGAACTGTTCCTAGAGTTGAAGAGTACTGGTTGCATCCCAGATGTTATTACCTACAACTTCTTGCTTGATGCTTATGCAAAATCAGGCAAAATCGATGAACTCTTTGAGCTGTACAAAGAGATGTCTTTCCATGACTGCAAACCAAACACAATAACTCACAACATTGTCATGTCCGGTCTCGTGAAAGCGGGAAATGTGGACGAGGCTCTTGATTTATACTATGACCTTATCAGTGATGGTGACTTCTCTCCAACTGCTTGCACGTATGGTCCCCTTATCGATGGTCTCTCTAAGTCGGGAAGATTATATGAAGCAAAACAACTCTTTGAAGGGATGTTGGACTATGACTGCAGGCCAAACTGTGCTATCTATAACATTCTCATTAACGGGTTTGGGAAAGCAGGTGAGGCTGATGCAGCGTGCGAGTTGTTCAAAAGGATGGTTAAAGAAGGAGTAAGACCGGATCTCAAGACTTACTCGGTTCTAGTGGATTGCCTTTGTATGGTCGGAAGAGTAGATGAAGGCTTGCATTACTTCAGGGAGCTGAAGGAATCCGGCCTCGATCCCGATGTCGTATGTTACAATCTCATAATCAACGGACTCGGGAAATCTCAGAGACTTGAAGAAGCTCTTGAGCTCTACAATGAGATGAAGAATAGCAGAGGAATCACCCCTGATCTGTACACTTACAACTCCTTGATTCTAAATATGGGTATTGCAGGAATGGTGGAAGGAGCTGGGAAGATTTACGATGAGATACAAAGGGCGGGTCTCGAGCCAAACGTTTTTACATTTAACGCTCTGATCCGTGGATACAGTTTGTCTGGAAAACCTGAGCACGCTTACGCTGTGTACCAGACAATGGTGACCGGAGGTTTCAGTCCCAACACAGGAACATATGAACAGCTCCCCAACAGAGCTTGACATTTTACACAGCTAATACAACTAGAGCTATACAAGTGAAGCACCTGCTGAACAGTTTATGTAATGTAAAGTGTACAAAGCATAACGTTGTGTAAATGTCATATTGTTTTGTTTGTTTTTTACATGATGATATGTTCTTTAGGCCATCAACAATTCAAGTCAATCATTTCTTCTGCATTATTGGAGGTCGTGGGACAAAAGTCTGGACGCAGAGGAACTGGAATACTGAAATCTCCAGAAACGTCAGATTGTGATATTAAAAAAGTGTTTCAAAAGAATTTACAATGTGAACTAAAATACTAGATGCCATCTTCCGTGACTCTGAGGATGGGGCTAGTTTGACGAGCTCGGCTCATCGTGGCTCGCTTCAGCTTGGCTAGATTCTTGTTTCGGTTCGGTTTCTGATGGAGTAGGCTCCGTGGACTGAAGAGGCTTCTTGAATTGAACCAAGATCATGGTCATGTTATCACAGCCTTCACCACCTGCGGTGTTTGGAGCCAGACATCTATCGAGAACTTTTTCACATACCACCGAGAGTTTGGTTTCCTGAACGCAAGCAATCGAAAGAGAGAAAACTGTTAAGAGTCCAGAAGAGAAAATACTGGAAAAGCTGTAATCCAGAACGAAGACAAATCAAGTTAGCTTACTGAATTCATCTGTTCATGTATAAAATCAACGAGTTGTTGGCTTGACATGCAATCCCTGCAGATACGAGATGAACCAAGACAAGTTTATCAATACCAGTACCAAGAAATGAACTTGTTTTGAGAACAAGATCAAAACATTTTCAAATTGATTTTACCAAATTCCATCGCAGGCAAGAACAAGGAAATCATCATCGTCACAGAGTTCAACCTGAAGAGAAAGAGAAAATCAAAATGTGTCATCGAAGATGTTTCAAGAGAAAGAGAACCGGCATTGGACCCACTTACAGTGTTGATATCTGGACTGGCGGTAACAATTTGCTTTTCAGATGACAAAAACTTATTCTGCTTGAATTCCATGTCACCTGTAAAGAGTAGCTCCAATCAGAGATTGCACGTAAACAAGTTGCATAGTGTGAGGAAGAGGTTACCGATAGCTCTTGCTAGATTCAAGCTTCCATTGACTCGACCAGCGTGAATAAAGCCACCAGCTTTTAATATCCTTTCCTTCTCAGCTTCAAGATCTGGTTTGTGATCTCTAGAAAGATTATAAGCCTGTAGACACACACACACACACACACACACCGTTTTTAACAAAAAATCAATACAGACGCCAAAAAGTCATCATCAAACCACTTCAAATCGAAATGGTACTTTTACCTGACCCTTCCTGGATATCACACAACGTGAGTCACCAGCATTTGCAACAACTAGCTGCTTGTGTCTAATAACAGCAACACAGGCTGTGCTCCCAGAATTAGGTCCAGGAAAATCAGAATGAGGACCCTGTTTTGACAACGAAAGCACCAATTAGTGATCCTAATTTGATCTTCGATATAATAGAGAAGAAGTGAGACTGAAAAATAGCAGAGCATTATGCAGGTAGCAAAGATTTACTTCCTCAAAAGCCCAAGCATCGGGTTTATTAGCGCTGTCCCCACTTCTTGGTGACCATAGAAACCCTTCAATCATTCCGCTGAACTTGTTGATCTTGTCACCGAGTATTGCTAATTCTCGCCATCCTCTCTGTCCTTGCATCATCTCATCCATTCTGCAATAACCACATCCAAGAGCAACCAGTTAAAGCATAACTTCAGACCAGAACAGACTCTTGTTGCTGTATGCACGAACAGTTGCCAGTAAAGTTACAGAGAGGCCGAAACGATAATGTTACCTGAAAAATGCTTTTTGAAGAGAAGTCCCTACGTCTCCAGCTGCATAAGCCTCATTATTGAGAACTTGCTGGTGTAGATACTTGGCGCAGAATTTTGAAACAACTTTACCTACAACACAAGCCAAAACCATTTGATTTTCCATGTCACATAAAGAAGCTTTTTCAAGAACAAAAACCACAAACATGTTTGAGCACTATCAGTCTTCTAGCTCTATCCATCTCAATTGAGCTCTAAACAGAAGTTTAAAGCCGGGAGAATTCGCCAAAAGGACTAATTTTTCTTTACCTCCATGGCCATCATAGACACCCAAGAAGGAAGTGTTATCATCCAGATTAAGTATTGCTGCATGCTACCAAAGTTAAACCAAGTAATCTAAATCAGTAAGTAAAAAAAATGTCTGCAACAAATAAAAGGTTTAAACTTTTTGATTTTCACTCACAGCATCTTCCATGTTCGCACGCCAACCTTGCATAGAGGATAAACCGTATCTAAGTTTATCATTCTCTCCATCTTCTGAAAACTTATCTGTTTTCGGAGAACTAAGATATATACCCATCTCTTTCTGCAAACCAAAATTGGACATTTCTTTCATGAATCAAGAAAAGTGATGATCTTTTTAACGTTAATTAATTCCAAGATTCGAAAATATGAGAGTCAAAAGCGAAATTAGAGAGGAATTGCAATGGACGTCACCTGAATCAGCTCAGAGACCTGTGATCTTTGAAGCTATTTAAGAAATCAATCTTCAAAACCGAAGACAAAACAAAAAAACAAATTTGAATCGGCTATACTAGAGCAGAACCATATTTAGATATTAGCAATTCAATGGATCAAAAGAAGTACGTGACGAAGTTGAGCTTGGTTTCTCACATCTCTGGCTCGATAATGGCTGACAAAAATCTTGGGGTGGGAAAGATAACTCGATCGGAATTGATTAGAGGAGGAAGATGAAACTTTCGATGATTTATCTTGAGATCAGATTGTAGCCCGAGAAAATGAGAAAAGGTCTGATTTTGTTTTCCTGAGAAGCAACGAAAGTTCCTGAGTTTGTTTTCTTCTTCTTACTCACACTAATACCAATACAAATACAAATACAAATATACATTTACTACTTTTGTTTAGGGTCTATTATTCACCGTAATAGGAGAGGCATTCGTTATATTTCTTTAAACGTGTAAAATTTTAGCGGCATAAACTTATGTTAATTTTCAAATTCAGTTTCAAAAGATTAAAAAACAAATGTTAAATCCAGGTTTCATGCGACAAATGAAAAAAAAAAAGTCTCCATACGATTTCACAATTTTAAGGAGTTTTTTTTGTCATGTCTGGTAAGGAAATATGTATATGTTGTATTTGTATGTGTTGTATACTTATGGCTACATGTCATGAAAAAAAAAAAACAAAATATTGTGTATATGATGATGAACAAATTTATGGTCAGAATCAAACCAATTAGTATATAAATATTTTTTAAAGAGTAAAACATTCTCTTCAGGCTTAACTCAATAAAATTTTAATTTTTTAATGACAGTAAAATAGTTCTTTAATGTTAGATTTCAAGGGAACTCTTAATCTAATAATTTGTACTAATCTAATTGTTGTATCATTTGAACAAAAAAAATAAATGTGTTATCATTCATTTAGATTCAAATCTGGTAATATATCTATATGAATATATAGTTTACTAAGCTTAATCAATTTGTGGGGGGGGTTTAATGACTGAGAAGTGAGAACTTGAAATGTTTTTTTTGTTTTCATTGTAATTTCTGTTTGTAGATGCTTTATGGATTTCACTTTAGGATCTCCGGGTTTGTTGTGAAAAAAAAGGACATTGATTGAGCACCATTGTTATGTTTTAAAGAAACTAAATGTAAGTACTAATTTGAAGTGATCAACAAACGAAGAACAACTGCGTTAAAAAAAAAAAAACAAAAACAAAAAAAACGAAGAAGAACTGCGTTGCATGATAAGCTTTGACTATTCTTCACGAAAAGCCATAGCTTTTGCACCGCTCGGCTTTTCCATTTTATTTTTTAAAAATTAGTTTATTTCTTCTCAAAACTGTGAATATAATATGGACGACGTGTTTATACGAGGACCGCATCTCTTTTTCTAATGATTCTGGCTAATTTTTGTGTTCACAATTTGTAGTCAGTAGTTATGAACTTTTAATATCTTTTGAAACATGGTATAAATGAGGGATCCTGCTAATTGGTTTTGTTAATTGCTCTCTATTCCACTTGAACGCGAAACACTTAAGTATTAAACAAACTCGTTCTAAATACATTCTGCTTCTGTAATGGCTTCCTCTTACGCACCATTCTCTGCAGTCTTCAATGGCTTCGCTGCAACCAAACCCAATCCACCTCGAAATTCGTCGGCTTTTCTTGCCCCTTCAAAAAATTTCTCAACGGAAACATCAAACTCTCGGAATCTGCGAAATGGGGTTTCCCTGAAATCTTCGAGTAATCATGGGTTTCGATTCAAGTCCAGAAATTTCAGCGTTTATGCAAGAGCTGCTTCAGAAAAGACTGTTCACGATTTCACTGTTAAGGTACGTTACTATTTCTGTTTCTGATTTTACTATTTTAGAAAGAAAATAGGTTTTTGTTTCTTCGTTAGCTTCTATAGAAAACAGAAGAAAGCCTCTCAAATCTATCAAAATATGCTTTTTCAATGTGAAGTCTGAAGTATATGCATACACTCGAGAGCTATAAAACATCCTCCGTAAAACCTAAAACTGGAGATAACTGTTCTGTTTTTTTCTTTTCTTGAACAGGACATAAATGGGAAGGATGTTTCATTGAGCAAATTTAAAGGAAAGCCTCTGTTGATCGTTAACGTTGCTTCAAAATGGTGATTCCCTTCTTTCTTTGTGTCATCAAATTGTGCTGCGAAATTAGATTTCTATTTGATAATAAGGTTATTTTTTCATGTAAAGGGTTTCTTAGATATAAAAATTTTTTTTTTTTTTTTTTTTTTAAAATGTCAGTGGTTTGACATCATCAAACTACTCAGAGCTTTCACATCTGTACGAGAAATACAAAAACCAAGGTGAGCTTTTTATACATCCCATTGATTACGTAACACAATATGTGACCTTTCTCTGATTTCTTCTTGTTTCTCATTTTCAAGGATTTGAGATTCTAGCTTTTCCTTGCAATCAATTTGGAGGTCAAGAACCTGAATCAAACCCGGATATCAAGCGATTCGTGTGTACCCGATTTAAAGCGGAGTTCCCTATATTCGATAAGGTATGTAGTAAGTACCCAAAAAAAAAAACTGTCACTACTGGCTACACATTTTGCAAATCTTGAATCTTGATAGGTTGTGTTGTACAGGTTGATGTCAATGGACCGAGCACAGCTCCTATCTACCAGTTCTTGAAATCAAAGTCTGGTGGGTTCTTGGGTGAATTCATCAAATGGAATTTTGAGAAATTCTTGGTTGACAAAAATGGCAAAGTTGTCGAAAGATACCCTCCCACGACTTCTCCCTTCCAAATCGAGGTACCAATCTGGATCTCGTCTTCGGTTCAGTGTTTTCGGTTTAGTCCTGAACCGAACCAGTTTGACTATATTGTCTTTGAATATATTCACTATTAACGACTACATCGACTAAAATAGTTCCAAGAAAACGTGTGTATGTGGAAAATCTATTAACTCATAACGTTCCTAAGTATATTGAATAGTTAACACTAACAACCTCTTTTTGTTTGAGATGTTGCAGAAGGATATCCAGAAGTTACTTGCGGCATAAATATACTGTTCCCATGTGTGCATCGTAATGCATAGAGCGAGAGAGATTAGTTGTTGTCTTAATAAACCCGTAAGTGTGGTACACACATTTCCCGGTTTATTGTTGGTATACCAGGGAAGTCAGATGAACATGTACAATGTTTCTTATTCTTCTGTTACAGAAATGATATTATACATATAACGATCGGAAATTCAAATAAACTTCTTTTAGAAACACACCAGTGCCTTTTGGCTTCGGAGACACCCGATTTTTATTATGTTTATTACAGAGACACACACACAAACATAATATTCAGTAAATGGGATATCAAAAGAGTTTAATATATATAAGTAGAGAAGATTAAAGTTAACGTCGAGAAGAATAATCTTTCCGTGACTGTGGCAGAAATCTATGGCGGAGATAAGTTGGTGGAGATACCTGTGAGAATCGACGAGATACTCGTGGAGGAGGATCTCGTCGTCTCCGTCGAGTCTTGCGAAGAGCCGGCCGTGTGCGTTGACATTCTTGTTCTTCTTCTTCTTCTTCTTCTTCTTCTTCTTCTTCTTGAGGGAGGAGGACGAAGTTTGAGTATCTGATGATTGGGGTAAACCTAAACCAGTATCTGACCGGGGTAAGGCTTGAGTATCTGATCAGAAATAAGGGCTCTGGTTCGATCTCTCTGATCTGGTTAAAGTGGAGATCCACCATCACGCTTGCCGTTACTGCGAGGTCTTCTTGTGGGGTGGTGGATTGGATTGCCACGTCATCCACCACCGTCGTGATCTCTCTGTTCTCGGTCCACAGAGATTGTGGGATCTCGTATTGCCCTACTCGGACAAGTCTCTCGCTCAAGTCCTCCATGTTTTTCTGTTTTTTTTTCCTGACAGGAGACTTACTTTCTAAAGACTGACTATATATGTACTACAATGCTGGATTTTTTTTTTTAGTCTTTACTGTGTTTACCTTTATTTTTTAAGACCACATACGACAAATCGTTTATTTATTTATTACAATTTTGCCATTGATTATGGTTAATTAATCAGAGGAAACTTTCTTGTTGTTAAGTTTTATTGGGGCAATGTAATTTACATGTTTTGACTTCTTGGTTTTATTATTCTCCACTTGATTCATAAATCTAATTTTGTATTGCTTCAAGAAGATTTAATATTTGATAATTTTGAAATGGCTGAGAGTAAATACAAAGAACAGTTTTAGAAAAAGGAAAATGATTTAAGTGGGATTACCAATCGGTAGGATCTGTTTCGCGTGACGTTTTAAACTATCTCTATTGGTAATAAACTTCAATTCCTTGAGATGACTAATACCATCAAAACCAGGACCATTTCTCAGATTCAGAGATCAATTCCAACGTCATTTAATTATTACTCTAATCCGGCAGTGGACTGGCACAACCGCAATCCTATTCAAATTTCAAAACCTACTCACCTTATAATAACTAGTCAAACAATGTTTTTATCCACGGCACTAAACTAGAACAACCATATACATGTAAAACCCTGCGGCAATCAATTGACAGAACAAATTAAGCATAAAAACTCTAAATCAACATCCCAAAATATAGGTTACTACGGCAAACAATGCATATTGATCTCTTTGACTTCGCATGAACAATTTGAATCGAGAAGCAACATAAAAAAAACCACCGATAAATCCAAACCTGCAACAGAATGAACAAATATATCAGAATTAGGTCGATCAAAAGCACAACCTCGTAACATAATCTAGAATTTTTTACGCGGTGTTACAATCAGAAAACTAGTTAAGTTATATTGAGTAAGTGGGAAAAACCTAGTAAAATTGACAAACTTTACAAAAGTCATGTGAGAGCCTCTTTGATTTTTTCTTCTTAGTTCACCCACCGTGTGAATCTAATTCTCCATATGCAAACAAACGTATTGGTGACATATTATAACATTTATGTAATGCAACACACAAGCACTCAGCAAACAGTATTCCTTTCAAGCGACTTTGTTACAATCATGAGACGATTTCATCGAACTTAATTTAGAATAATCTGAGAACCTCAATCTTAGTTATATATCCTTCTTATAGACAATTGATTTTAGACACATTTCGCAGGCATCAAGAAAGCACTATCTTTCTTTTGAAGAAGTTAATAACTAATTTTGTTCAATTACAGCAAGAACATAATGAATTATGTGTTCTATATGTATCGTAATTGGTTTGTAAACACCGGGAACATGGATTAAAGGAAAAAAGCAGGCAGAAAGCATGACAAGAACATCTAGCAATGAATTGCAAAAATATTAAGAACTCTTTACTTAGCAAAATAAAACCCCGTGACAAATTTTATCCCTACAAGATATGAATATAATTAAAATGAAAACTTGAAATATTTGATCTTAAAGAAAAGAAACTAAACTAATAGAAGTGAGAACAAAAATAATATCAATTTTTAATCTTCTTCAAGATTCAGTATTGAAAAAGCATTAATCATTCAGAATAGCATTTTAAGTACTGTTTTTAATCACGATATAGATTTGATTCTTCTTGGCAAAAGCATCTACAAATCGCTTCTGGAGTTCAAAATTACTTAATAAAAAATGGAAAACGCACACAAATTAGAAAGTGTCTATATGGTCGTTTTGAGGGTTGAATTTAAAGAACATGTTCTTAAATCAAGAGACAAACCCAAAGAAAATGCTCTTAGATCAAGAACAAGCCCCACGAGTATATTCCTGCAAGATTCACAACGTGATCACATGGAATCAATGATATATAAATTAGATACTATCTCTATCACACATTAAACAACAGATTAAATTAGATACGTGATTATGTACCTCAGAGAATCAAAATGTACGAGCATACAATACATATAAACTAGAAAACCACAATTATGAACAGTACTCTTGCAAGATCCATGATCAAACACAGATGCATGTGATCATATAAAGCAAATGATAAATCGACACAGACTTATGAATGAAGAGACTGAATCACGATTAAAAAGACTCATGAGAAACTAAAAAAAGAAGGAAAATAAAATCTTACAATAATATAGTTTGGATCGAGGAAATTAAGGATTCAAAAGAGTTAGGACCAGCCTAAGAAAAACTAGGTTAACGTTAATGGTCCCATTTAATCTCGTTTAACCAAGCCTTAAACGCATAGATTAAAGCTTTTTCGATGCTAATGATATCATAAAATATAGCGTTCAACAAAGGAGACAAAAAAAAGCAAATTCGCATGCAATTAGAAATCAAATCTATGGTAGAATATATAAGAGCAAGGTAGGATAGATATGAGATCGTATTTAATTACCTTTGGAGAGATGAAGAACACAAGAGAGATAAAGTGAGAGACAGAGATGAGAACACAATTAAAGAAGAAAACGTCAACGGACCGATAAAGACTCGGTGCCGGAATCTGACAGATAGAGCAGTGAGCACGCAAGAGAAGCAAATGCATCGAACATGCAAAGTGCCTTTGTGTGCTCACTCTCTTCTGTCAGTTTCGATGCGTTTTCTCTAAAATTTGTCCCAAAACTCACTTAATGGCCTTACCGACACAAACTCTGAGATTAGAGATCAAACAGGAGAAATGGTTTTCTTCTAAGGAGAAGAAGACTTTGAAGCTGTAGAGTTAGATCTGAGAGGCTTAGGGTAAGCAAAAACCAGAGTAGAATATTTATAATCGAAAGAAGAGAGGAAAGTTATTCATTTTTAGATACCCTTTGGGTAAACAAATCTAGGGTTTTGACCAAATCGAGATGCGAAAATAAATAATTACCAAAAAAGAAAGAACACAGGGAGAGATATTCGGGGAGAAGGATTTAGATTTTGAGAAGAGAGGAGAGGAGAGGAAGAATATGTTAAAGAAGGAAACAAAATACCTTATCTCTCTCTGTCGCTCACTCTCTTCAAGAGTCTTATCTCTGCTTTCTTTTTGTTTTGTTTTTTTTGGTCTCTTTCTTCTCTCTCCCTCTTACATGCAATGTGACAGATGTCTGGAGAGAGAGACATATGAGTTGAATGGAATGGATTGGATTGAACAGTACATTGCAGTTTAAGTGGTCAATCTCATAACCTATAAACGGCAACGACAAACCTATTAAAGATCTTTTGAATTTTGGTCTTTCACGATGATAATAACATTACTTTTTTAATGGGAATCATACTCTTCTTTTTACTAGTATTATAATAGTCATTCCGCGTTTAACTTTTTTAGTTTCCCATTATTTTCTTAAACCAAGGCTTCTACTAACCAAAAAAATGCTAAGGCTTCTACTAATGACAGCCAGTAAACAAGCAGAACAAAAGCAACTCAACAGAACAATTAATAGACAAAACAAACAAACAATATATATGTATGTATATAATCATTAGTTTCGAATGAATAGAAAACAGAACAAAGACATCAGAAAACAGATTCAATGAGGAACAAAGACATCAGAAGTTTTGAAATTTCTACACCTATAATTTTCTCATTTTTCAAAACTTCTACATATGAAAAAATATAATAAAGTATAGAGTAAAGTAACATGAGACCAAATTATAATTAATGTGAATGTACCACCTTTAATAAATGTTGAATAAGTATTAATTGCAGAGGTTACGTCGTTTCACATCCAACCAAACCAAAGTTATACTCCATAGTTTAATTGCATAGTTTAATTTGTTTAATTATGTGAACTATAGAAACACACCATAGTTTGATATACCACATACCATAGTTTATTAGTTTTTATGAACTAATGATATGTAACCATAAATTAGCCAATCCCTCTTAGTCAACTTAGTAGATATATAGAAAAAGATTGTTTTGCATGAATTTGCACTTTTTAAAATATACATAGTCTTAGTATTTAATATATTGTTTATAGATTTTTAGCATTTTTATAACAACTAGGTGTTTAGTCCGCGCTTTGCGCAGACCGAAGTGTTTCATTGAAACGTAAAATTTAATTTTACGTCAGAAATTGAAAAAAATTAAATCAACAATTTGATACATACAAAATTAAAATAAAGCTAATCTATGATAATCATTGTTTAACATTAAATACCTTAAAATTAATATTAATAAGTGTATAAAATTAATAAACACAAACTAAATCAAAATTAATATGAATTATCTTTTAATTTTTTGTTCTCTATCATTTTCTTCTTTCTTTCTTTTTTTCTGTTTTCTTTTTGTTTTTTTCCTATTTTTTTCTTCTTTATTTTCTATGTATTTTCTTACTTCTTATTTTTCCGGTTTTTCTTTTTCACGTCTTCTTCTTCTTCTCCACATCTTTTCTTCTTCCTCTCATACATCTTTTGATTTTCTTCTATTCCAGATTTTATTCTCTTTCAACTTCTTCTTCGATGTTTTATTATTCTCTTTCTTCTTTTTTTTTCTTTTCCTTTTTCATTGCCATATATCGTTTTCTTTGTTGTCACCGACTTCCTATTCTTCTGGTGTTTTTCGGTTTTTACTTCATCTTCATATTTTTCTACTTTCTCTAATTCTTCATCTTTTAAAGTATTCATCCAATTTTTTCTCTTTCCTATCTTCTTCTTCTTCTATTTTGTCTTGTATTTTATTATTTTTCTCCTTCTATGGATTCTTATTCCTTTTCTTCCAATTATCTTCCTCTCTCCAAATTCTTCATCATATTTTAAAGATCTTTGTCTTATCTGTCTCTCTCCTCTTCTTCTGGTCTATATTTTTCCTTTCTTAGTTTTTTTTTCTTTGTATTTTTGAGTTTTTCTTCATCGTTATTTGTTTTCAAATTGTTCTTCTTTATTGTCTTCATCTTTTTTTACTTCTTCTTTTTCTTCATTTTTTCATCATATTTACTTTTTTCTAATTTGTCTTCTTCATCTTCTAGTTTTCTTTCTTTTTATTATTTTTTTTTTCTTTCACTTCGTCTACTATCTACTAGTTTTCTTCTATGACTTCTTCTTCTGATTATCTTTTTTTTTTCTTCTCCAATTGGTCATTTGATTTTTTTGTTCATCGTCTTCGACCTATCCGGCTTTTTTTTATCTTACTTGTTCACAATATGAATTTTTGTTCATATTTTCATTGTTTTCTTATTCTTCTCCTTTTTCTTTATTTTTTTAGTTTTTCATATTCTTTGTTTTTTCCTTCTTATCTTTTATTATTTTTGACTATTTCATCTTATGTATTGTATTCATCTTATTTGACTTCTTAATTTTTTTCATTCGGTTTTTTCTGTTGATTTTCTTTGTTTTATTTGTCTGCCCCATCTTCTTTGTTTTCTTTTATTGTCATTGTATTCTCTAAATTCTTATTCTTCCACATCTTTTATTCTTCTTCTTTTGGTTTTATTAGTCATTTTTATCTTCTACTTCTTACTTCTTCTTGGTCATTTTTTTTATCCAAACTTTTTTTTCTAATTTTTGTTTGTCTTTTTCACATCTTTATTTTCTTCTATTTTTTCTTTTGCATCTTCGGGTTTTCATCTTCTTATACTTTATTTTCTTCATCTACCGTTTTTTTTTTCTTCTTTTATTTTGATAATTTGTATGAAAATAACAGAAAAAATTGTTATACAAATTATGAATATAAATTAATTAATTAAGGATATTTAGAAAAAATTTATCAAAGAATAAAGAGTAATTAGTCACCTAGATTGAATGAGAGAGCTTATAGCAAAAAAATTACTGTGCATATATTATATATGATATGATTTGAAATGTTTTTTTGATTAAATTCCAATTTATAAAATTTGTTTATTTTCTATTTTAAAGATTTTTTGATTAAATTCTGATTTTTAATAATTTTTATTAAATTTAAAATTTTTTTTATTAAATTCCGATTTTAAATAATTTTTTATTAATTTTACAATTTTTCATAATTTTTAATTAATTTACGTTTTTTAATATTTTTAAAATAATTTACAATTTTTTATATTTTTTATTATATTTAAATTTAAAAAATATAAGAAGGGGTAAAGGATAATTAGCCATCCTAAGATTGAATGAGACAGCTTTGACTCAAAATTTTACATTGCTTATAATATATATGATTAATTTTACAATTTTTTATAATTTTTAATTAATTTACGTTTTTTAATATTTTTTAATTAGTTTACGATTTTTAATATTTTTTATTAGATTTAAATTTAAAAAATATAAGAAGGGTAAAAGGTAATTAGCCACCCTAAGATTGAATGAGACAGCTTTGACTTAAAATTTTACTTTGCTTATAATATATATGATTTGCTCATGTATATTATTTTATATACATGTACGCATGTGGATAGTATATGAATAAACACAAAAAATAGTATTTGTCATTTATATTCTAGAAAAAAAATTAAGTGTTAAAATTGTATGAAAATTTTAAATATTGGAAATCTATGCATATATGTCTAAAAAAACTTAGGGGAAGGAAGACATCCACAAACCATGGTTAACTACTTGTTTCTCAGGTTTAAATAGCATAGTTTACTGTTTTTTATTTTTGGTTTGGGGTTTCTAAGAACTTATTCTCCAAGCCACACGTTAATTTAATAAGGAGTCGAACAATCCAATTGTTTCATTCTTTCTGTTATCTTCTGAGATACCGTATCGTTTTTTATTGGTGCGAAATGCTGAGAATTGAGAACAAATGCAAAAATGGAATATGCTGAATTTTATTGAATATAAAATCATATCAGCCACCCATAAAGTAAAGCTAGATCCGCCAATAACATACACTCGCACAACAGGATTTCGAACCAATCTATCGGAAGTATCATTCATTAAGAAATCATATATATTAGTGAAAGATCGTCGAGATCTGCTCAAAACCTATGAAATTATTAATCAAAATCGAGATTAAATTATGGAAAAATTGTAAAGATTTATTAACATTATATATAACTTGGGAAGCAAAATGTGTGTGTTATCAAACCCTAATTATGAAGTAACCCGTGAAACTAGACTGTAAAATATTTTTGCAGGAATCTTATTGTGATAAAGGATTTAATGATTTAGATATGAATATGAAGATTACGATAGATTCTAATTAGTTTAAAGCCCAATTACGATCTACGTATATATCGCAAGATGCGGCTAATATTGGTAATTGGTCGAGGAAATCTCCTTTTTAAACGAATATTGTCTGACTTTGTGAGCCAGGCGTGCTTATATCTCACGGTGATGGCTTAAACCTCGTGGTCGTCTCTTTGCAGTCTTACTCATGTTCGTAATGTGCCAATCGTTCTCGAGCCATCCGTTAGTCGGCTAGTGGTCATATATATCGTGCCACGTGGTATATATATACCTCTTTTTTAACTATCCACGTAGGTTTTATTAAGATTTGTTTATACAAGTTATGTACGAATGCAAAATACCTATTTAATAAGGAGAAAGAGATGTAAACCCATTTTTCCTCATCATAAATGAAAATATGGGATCATCGACATGCATCCCCATCTATTAGAATACGTATTATAGCCGACTTTTATACGCATAATTTTTGTTTTCGTATGTTAATGTCTAGATCATCTTGTTCTAATTTATACTCTTTTCTTTTTTTTTGGTCGAACAATTTATACACTTTTCATGTCGTTATAAATGATGTTTTAGGAAAGAACAAAAAATGTTTCAAATTAGACGATAATTTTGATTTTTTAATGCAAAATTAATTAATTTATTGTTTTAACTATTTTTATTACACATATTGTTTTATCATTAGTTGAACTGTGTTTATATAAATAATAAATAACGTTTTAGTTTAGAAAAAGACAAAATTTATTAATTCATAATATATGTATACAATCTTAAACATCAGATATTTTGAAACTGAAAGTACTATTTTCTTTTGTTTGCTGAAAAAAATGCAATCATGTGCAAATCAATAATATAACCCACGGATCGAAGACCTCATCAGATCTAGTGGCCTTAGATTCTCATTGCAAGGCTGTTGTTGATAGATCTGAAGTTTTATAACCTTTGATCGATGCGTGCGGCGTGCCTAAATTATAATATGCATGTAATGGAATATCCCTTATGTATGGTGAAGCAAACATTGGACTTAGGAATCTCCAAGCATCTCGTAAACCATTAATATGCGTGATATTATTTTCTAAAGACTTTGGTCAACTTAGAAACAAATTCTTTTTTTAAATTAGTAGAGCCTAATAAATTCGAGGAATTAGATGAATCCGACTAAAACTAGCGATGTAAAATCTGAAACACATTCCAATGATCCAAATGATCTTTAGGATTAAAATGAAAAGAAAAAAACAGCTCCCTTACTTTTTAAAATATTGTTTATGATCCGATTTTAAAATATCGTAATTACAGTTTTAGTATACACACTATAGAACAAAGAAAAAAAAGTTAAAAATTCTCCCTCAAAAGTATGAAACAAATAAATTAAAATTAAAGTTCAGTTTAAGGGTGTTCAATCCAAATGTATATTGAGACTTGAGATGTTCGGCTTTTTTTGGACTTTGATTTAATGAAACAATAATACTCCTTAAGGTTTTTCGATTTAGGGTTAGATAATCGAATATATTTTTTTTCATATTATAAATTTTGGTTCGATTCGAATTCGGTTTCAGCCTTTTTAGGTTGTTAATGAAACTAAAAGTAAATGATAATAACTACATACAAGTTTACTCGGCAAAATGCTTGGCCAAAGATCTTAGTTGACGAATAACTCAACAGTGGCAAGAATTAAAAATTGATTTTGAGTGCTAAATCCTAAACAACGACTAAGAAAAGCATGAACACACAACTCAAATCTAAGTTAATCCAAATTTTAGTGATGGTTTAGGAAGATTTACTACAAATAGTCGGCAGGCAAAATGTACTTTTATCTACCCAAATATTTTAATAATTCTCTTCAAAACTCATGTCGAGAGATGACAGGAAAACGTGGTCAAATAAATAAAAGAAATAAAAATAACCAAAACCGATTTAGTATCCACCTTAAAGCTACATCAAGCTGAAATCACACCTAAACGAAAGAAAACCACCACTACTACGCTTCTTGTCTCGAAAACAATTCTACACTTCTAATGCCCAGACGACGTCAAGTCCCACCCAATTCACGGCCACCAATACCACCACCGTTACGCTCACCTTTTCCACCTTAAAATTACATAACCATAATTCAAAGGAGAAAAGATCGAAAACCTTTCCTAAGGCCAGAGTCATCGCTTCCTCTTCTTACCAGACTTCGTCTGACTTCCCTGCGACTTGCCTGAACCGACTGATTTACCTTTTGTTGCTGGTTCTGGTGCCTTGGGTGTCTCTTCAGATTCGGACTCTGCATCGCTCTCCTTGGCCTTGGAGGAAGGTGTAGATTTTGCTTTGCCTTTAGCTACTTTCACCTTGGCTGATGAAGACTTCGCAGGTCCAGACTTGGACTTTGAGGAAGTCGTCATAGTCTTGGACGGCTCTTCCTTTTTCTTGGATGAAGCTTTGGATGTGCCAGAGTCTCCTTGGTCCTTTGATTTTCCAGATTTCACTATCTCTTTCTTCGACTTGCTGCTTCCCGATTTTGCACCACCTGATTTAGCAACGGTTCTGGGATTTTCCTCCTCTTCGCTCAACTCTTCAGAGCTATCCTCTTCTTCTCTGCTCGGTTCCTTTGAATCCTTTGGTTTGCTCTCTGTTTTATCATCCTGGGACTTCTTGCCTGACTTGGAAGCAGGAGCAGCTTTAGACTTGCTGGATCCAGCTCCACCACCCCTGGGTCAGAAGCGATATTGCTTATTAGTATGGAAATTTTCTAGTGACTTCAACAACACCTTTAACCTATTTGCGTTCAGTTTCATTTACTTTTTCCCTGATGATTCTATCTTTGATTGCTTGCCTGTCTTGGCTTTTTTTCTCTGCTGGGCCCTGCATTGAGAATTACTAAGCTTGGTCATCACAAATCATCACATCTAGCTAATCCTTACAGAGCCACATACACACCGGAACTAGAGATGTAACACTTACTCTGCAGAGGCTTCTTCATCATGACCCGTCTGATCAGCAGCTTCTTCACCATGCTGCAAAAAAATGTAAATTACAGCAAATGGAAAGAATTTTTTAAAAAAGTCAGAGATTAATGAAATATAATGCCCCACCTCTGATTCTGATTCATCCAGAAAATGCCACTTCTGTTTCTTCAAATTCAAGATTTCTTGATCGCCATCATCATAGCAAACCTGGAAACGAAGATAGCAACAACAAACGACAAAAATAAAACGTACCATAAGATGCCCTGAATCAAATGAAAAAATAATGTACCACTTAGGAAAACAGTCAATAGGCTAATGATTCACCGCAAACAGAAATGACAACAACTATAGTTATAAAAAAGACTGATAAAATGGGGCTTACCAGATGTTTCTTCTTAGCAGAATCATATGAATTGACCGAACCAGTATAATACCTGCGGCAGAAATCCAATATTCATCCAAGGTGTTAGTCCAGATTCAGCTATCTAAGGAAAAATACATAGAATGGCGGACAGCATTTGTGTAAATCAAACATAATTCCTAGAAGCTCCCCGACGTTTTACGTGTATATATCTAGTTTCCTTAAATACATATAAAGCCGCCGGGAGTTTTACGTAAGAAAATACAAAATGCTTACGCTTTATCCATAGGCCACCAGACTCTGACCCTCGACCCAACTAAACTTTCATCGTGGTTTTGGAGATCAGATGCCTGCCAGGGAATTAATTCAGTATGAAGAAGTCTAACAAAAAAAAAAAAAAACTCGTACAGAGCACAAGGAACCAGTACGGACAAAGAAGTAAACACGAGAATCATAAGCTCCACAGAAGGGAACGAACAGGTGTTTAAAAGAAAAATATTTTCAACATGAAGAGAATAAGAAGCTGCAACCATGCACAGTTACTACTGCAAATGTCAATTGGTAAAACATGATTTTTTCCCCACATTCCTTTGCAACAATTATAATAGGTGAAATTTCGAAAACATACTTTCTCTTTGCCTAGACTTCGTTTTCTCTTTGCGTTTGTATTAGGACTTTCTTCTATCGGTTGCTTCACTTCTTTCTTTGACTTTGAGGCTGGCTTTCCAGAGGAAACAGCTGGCTGAAATACAACCAAAGGATCTCAGTAATCGTAAATGGACAGGGAAGGTAGATATATATCGAATCAGTCAGGGGAAAAGCTTACTTTTTCATTATCACCTGAAGACGTATGTAATGTGTCCTCATCCATGGCTTTCCCACGTCCTGGCTTCTTCTTATCCCCTTTTGGCTTTGAGGATTCTTGTTCATTATCACTCTCAACTACCTTTTTCTCTGACTGTTTAGCTGCTTTTGTCTCAGAGGTGGTTTTCTTTGAAGGAGGAACATTGGACTTGGTTTTACTTGAAGAGGCGACCTTCTTTCCAGACTTTTTTGTCACTTTAGCTTCAGAAGTGTTTGGTTCTTCGGAAGCTTCTTCCGTAACATTAGCAGCAGATGGTTTGGCCTCCTTCGTTGAGCTTTTCTTCTGGTTTGCAGTCTTCTTAGGACGGTTTTCCTCAACAAGATCCTCAGCTCTAGATGGAGAACTGACATTGGCAGTTTCATCAGCTGATGTCTTAGATGGCAAAGCCTGCACACCTGTTTTCTCCTCATTTTCTGAAGAAGTGGCTGCGTTAACAGATGAGTCATCAGGAGGCGACTTTAAGACACCCTTGCTGTCCAGGAGTGCTCCAGGTTCAGTCTCTTCTTTGATATCTGAAGTTTTTGATGAATCCACTTGTTTGACAGAACTAGGTTCTTTTTCCATAATTTGATGTTCAACATCAGGCTTTTCTTCAGAAGCATTATCCAAGTCAGTCTTGCTAGGATTATCAAGTTGTTGAGGCTCATCTTTAGCATTCGTATTATCTTGCTTCTTTGTCTCAGTATCAACAGACGAATCATTCTGTTGCACAACACCATTGCTGACTCCTGATTTACCAGATTCATCCTTAGGGGCATCAGTTCGCTCGGGTGTAGAAATTTCTGCTGCCTTCTGTTTATCCTGCTGATTGGAAATTAAAAACCAATTATCAATCTACTTGAGCAAAATGAAGAAAGACATCTATCATTTTTTTCAAATCAACAAATTTTCAGAAGTTTAATGCTATTTTTTACCTCTACTTCTGCTTCCTTTGTTAAATGAACATGACTAACCTGCGGGATAAAAAATTGGGAGAACTTTATAAAAACATGTAATGTAACTGGACGACCAGCATAATCACAAAAAAATGAGATAGTTCAACAGAAAAACAGGTGAGATATAAAACTGGCTGGGTAGAGATACAGATGAGAAGACTTGCCTCTTCTTCATTCGCAACAAGTTGATCCTGCTGCAAAGCACTGAATGTCCCTTCACATATAGAAGTCACTATCTTACTATACTTATCAAAAGGGACACCCGACGATTTCACTGCTTCAGTGAGATACGTTTTGAGCTTGCTAGCACAGTTACTGAGAACTTGTTCTGCCAACCTCCGTGATACTTGGGGAACCTGAGGACAAGTTGAAAGAATTAACAAAGGAGCATACTGAAACATAATTAGCAAGACCAACAATGTATCACCTCATCATCCTTTCTAACAAAATGTAGAATTGGTGAAAGCATTTCTGGGGGTATATCCTCGCTTTCTTCTAAAACAAGGGTCATAATGTTCTCCATTGATGAAAATACGTTCCCTGAATGATGGTCCCTGAAAAGGAAAATAAATTAATCATCAGACAAACATGATATCCAGTGAGAAGCTTGAAGATGCAAGGAGGAAAGTAAAACTAAGCTTCTGTAAAAAAAAAGTGATCAGAATGTTATGGCTGCTTCTGTCATTAAGTCACCTAAATAGTTTATCTGATGTGCTGAGTGGTAACAACAGCATCCACAAATCCAATATGGCATAAGTAGACTAAAGGGAAAACAATTCAAGATTATAAGCAAGGTACAGAATTCCATGTATGTATGTCGTATATATTCTGGACCTTAAATTTCGAAGTTAAAGAAAAACTTGCATCAATCATAGAACCGTTGCTAAGTTAGCAATGATTCCATCAGAATGGATTTATTAGCTTGTACCTTACAGCCTTCAGGAAATTCTGGAACATCTCAATAAGAAGTGCATCACACTCAAGATCCAACATCACAACGCACGATCTGACCTTAGCCACCGTTTCAAGGATAGAGGTCCTTTTGGAATAGGAGCGACTAGAATTGTCAACTAAATTTTCAAATGATGATACAATTAACTTAAATACTTCCTGCGCAAGAACAGAAGAAAAGAATCAGCGACAGTCGCCTTTATGCCCATTTCCTGAAGATAAATTACCAAACAATAACATACCCTCATCTGGTCATCATCATAAGGAGCATCCGGAGCAGTTATTCTTGTAATCTCACTGATGCAGGCAGCGACTGCTACTTTCACATCGACATCTGAATGCTTGAAGAGTTTTCCAGCGACTAATGCTTTCATCAATGGAGAGAGTGCATTCTGCATTGAGTCGGGAGGTGACTGTTCAACCTCTGACAGGCTGAGGAAAAGTTTCTGCAGCAATATACAAGATGATATCAAACTCAAGAATTCCAAAATCACAGCATCACCATCACACACTTGAATCTGAAAACAGATGTGTCACCACCTTTCATAAAAACCAGTCCAGAAAATCTTTGTAGAGCATGAAAAAATTACGGATAAAGTTGTATGAACTTATAGTACAGATTGATTAACACAAAATCAATCAGTGGCATAATCGAATGAATGTCTTTCTTCAACACTGATCTAAAGATTTAGAGTAGTTTCAAGAGCAGAAGAGCTCAGGCAGCCTCTGTAAACCAGAATTTAACAACAGCTCCGTTCTTTATAGATGAATATGCTTAACCAACACAGATATTGAGGATTATCGATAAGAATCTATTGGAAACGGAGAAATCACCCAAAGGCAAGATCTCAACTGCATTGAGTCAATTCGCATAGCTAGATGAAGGTAGCAAACAAATAACAATAAGAGGAAAGATGCAGAGCAAGAGTTAAACCCAAATCAAGAAATCCACACTAAACGCATGCAGGCACTTAGCATTGCACGAAGACGAAGAAGAACACCAAGAAAAAACATAACACATATGTATAACGAAATGGTCAAGAAGCTCACGTCAAGGAGAGAAAGAAGCTCATCGACTGAAGATGGCGGGTCAATAAGCTTTTCCCGTGCTTCCAGAATCTGCTTCTCTAGCTCTTTATCAGAATCCGACATGACTCCCTCTCCTTCTCTTCTCTCTCTCTCGTTCGCTCTTCGTGCGAATCTACAATTAGATCTCTACGAAACCTAGATTCCGAAACACAGTCTTCTCACAAAGCGAAAAACCTAAATCGTCCTTCGATTCTAGAAATGATGACAAGCCGATTGAGCGAGAAACAACGAGAAATTCCCCCAAAGTCACTGAACAACACGCTAGGGTTTTCTCCTCTCCCTCTTTTTTTTTTTTGTTTTTTTTTCCTCTCAATCTTAACAGTTTACAGAAAACCAAAAAAAAAAGTAAGAAATTTTCTCAGACGCGAGAACCCTCAGCGCCGTTAAAAAGATATATATAATCTTTATTAAAAACGAAAATGGAAGTATTTATTTTTGGTGTACGGCAATTTATTAAGTGGTCGTCTTTTTGACGATGTGTTACTTTCTTTAATTTGTTTTTCTCTCTCTTTTTGGGCTTTTCTTAAAAGGGGGAATCCAAAAATTAAGGAAAATCCAGTATTGCGATTTTTTCCCCCTCTCCAGATTTCACCTAGATTTATAAACTCAGGTTAGCTAAAATAGATCGCCATAAATAAGTCATACTAATATCGTTTGATAAATTTGAAATCAAATCTGATAAATGTTATTACTTTCATAACAAACTATTTTCTTTTTAACAATTACTGTATTGAACAATGATATTTTTATAATTCATATATCGTTGAAATCATCTACATAGTCATATACATGTATAATGTTTATATCGATTCTGTACACATATATGACTATGTTGATGACCTTAACATAATAAATTTAGAATATGATTATACAAGTCCACGATTCAAATTTGGAAAATAAGAATGGAAATTTGTATCTATGGAATTCTTTGAATTTTTTTTTTTAAAACACAAGATCACCTATTGGTTTACTATATTACTGTTCAGTCAATATTTTCGGTATTTCACATTAACCGGTTGCTAGCTTTTAAACAGTTTTCAAAATTTTGTTTTCTTAAGATATTATTGAAAAAAAAACAGATTAGCTCTTAGAACTTCTTTCTCCGGTATATTTCGGGTTGAAAATAACTTAACAATGTTATGAGCTTTTTCATGAGTCCTCCGGTTGGTCTCATTTATAGCGTAATAGCTATACGCCTATACGCCTATACCAATAACAAACAATTTGGTTAAAGAGGGACTCAAGGTCGAGCGGTATCTCAAACGTCTCAGCGCGGCCTGCTCCCCAATAATGTATCGGGCTATAGCTCAAACCCAGCCCAATTATTTACGACTGAGTCTGAGTCCAACCAGGTATTTCAGAAACCATGAAAAAAAAAATATTACAAGAATTTAATGGGCTAATCTCCATGTCGGCCCATTTTCAAACCTCTTGCATCGTTGGAACTTGGAAGTGCTTCCTTTGCGTTCTATGTTGATATCAACCAGTCACGGAGTACCACGTCATCACGTCATCACTTTGGTTTTCCAAATGTAAGCTAGATATAGAATGATTATTAGGAAACATGCGTTTATATAGAAAATAAAACGTATTATCTCAAAAGTATGTCGGATCTCAAGTGTCTTTAAGTTATTAGATACAGAACTCATTATATCATCAACTCATCGAGTTTAAAAATGACCCTAATTAATGGGAAATGAAATGGTAGTAGATAAGCATAATGTCCATATACACAGACAGCTACTGCAGCTTTGGTAGCCAGAGAAGAGTGTTTTCCATAACATTGAATTATATCAAAACCAATTAAAATAGTCTGCCTTTAAATGAATGAATGCAGTCACACTCCCACGTGCCTCTCCCACCTTTCATTTACGTTCTTAATTATTTAGATGTGTACTTTTTCAAATTTGGGACCATCTTTAAATACTTGTAGGGATATTACGATGTATACATCGATGATCTCTTGTGATATGTTTAAGCATACTCTTGTGACTCTTGTGCTTAATGGATAAAAACAACAAACATACTCAAAATTTTAAGGACGAATACTCTTACAAGCCAGGAAAAAGGATATATACACCATATAATTAGAGTAAAAAGAACTGATAAAATTGGTACAAAGTAAAAGCTAACAAAGTTCATAACTTTATAACATACAGCTTTAACACTAAGCCTAGTAGACCAAGTGGGTTTTTCACTTTCAACAAAGCCAGAACCCAAACAAACAAAAAAGGCAACTCCACATGAACAATAACAACGACACATCGTACGTTGAGTACACTATACATTATATTAGATTGTGTCTGTGGTCTTTTGTCGCATACCTCAGAAGTTGATGAGATCTGTCGAAGCAACACTCTTCCTCTTTGTTTTTATTTCCTCTTGTTAAATCAGCTCACAGATTTTTTTGGTTCCCCCTTCAACTTTTTGCAGAAATGCTTCGTGATGACACCTATAAGACGTGATGATGCTTGATTATTTTATTTATTTATTAAAAATGAATTTGACTAAAAACTCTCGCTACAAAACAAAACAAGAAAAGCCAAATGTAGTTAGATCACTGATCCAATTTCTCCACGCCGCCACATTGTTTATTAAGGCAAACTCTATTTTCTATTCTATTCGGAAAACAACAGCACAACCATAAACTATTGTCTCAAAAGATTCCAAACTCCATTTGAGAAAAATATGAAAAAGAAAAGCAATACATATTTTACACAGAAAAAAATAAAATAAATGCAAACAATAAAAGCAAAGGCAGAGAGTGGACCAAAGCATACTATAGAAAAAGAAATGACCGACACTTTAGTTAAGGAAGATGGACAGTTTGGTAATTTCATCATTCATATGTGGGTGGGGTCTCAATGTAAATGAGGTCTACAAAACTGATGAAGTGCATGTGAGAGACTAAGTCAATGCTCCCTAATCTTCCCCGAATTTACATTTGATGCCACTGTCAGTCAGTGAGAGACAGAGCATCAAATCACAAAAGCCTTGAGGAGAAAGTTAACTATACTTATACTGATATGACAATCTACTTAGTTTAATATAATCCACCAATATGAATAATTAGGTGAAAGACTTACGTTTTCATCAAAAGGGAAGGCTCTTTGAAGTGGAGCTCATAGAGAGTGACTTAAAATGCTCTGAAGGAACAAAGTCTTGTGGCAAATTAGCTCTCTTCACGATTCTCTTCATATTGCTCTGTAAACTCTGCTGCACTAGCTGCTTCACGGCTTTCCTCTCTTCGCTCATCAACACATCGCTTTCCCCGTGGTCCAAACCATTGTCTCTGGTCCCATAGATCGGTGCCGATAAGGCTCCGCATGATCCAGTACTGTCCAAGACTTGCTTCCCTTTGTCTACTCTAAGACACTCTAATATCCTCGAGGCTCTCTTTTGAGCCAACGCACTTCCCAAAAGGGTCAACTCGAGCAGCGATGATTCGATTCCTGCTTCAATCATAACTTGTCGATCTCCGTATCCTTTGTGAGCCATCAACATAAGTATGTAAGTCGCCTTTTCTTGGCATCCTGGAGAGTCGGTCCAGTTCAGTACATCGACTAAAACCGGGAATGCGTCGCCCACTGAACTGATGGCTTTCCTTCCTTCTGGAACTGCCACTATATTGCTCAAGATTGCGAGAATCCTCTCGCTCACTTCCATATCTCCCAATGTGTTCAAGAGAAACGTGATTAGATCGGTTTCAAGGATGAATGAAACGTTTGGTTGGTAGATTGAGAGGTTGTAAAGAGCTCTCAGAGCGTCTTCTCTGGCTTGTGAGCTGCTTGTTTCGTCCAGATTCTGAAGAGTTTTCACTAGGAAGTTGATTGCTCCCGATGAACCGATGATCGGTTTGTTCGAGTCTAATGCGCTTAATCCGAGGAAATTGGCCACCACGGCTTCTGCAATTGATTGATCAGGCGTGTTTGGAGACTCGATTAGCTTCAGCATTTTGTGAACAGCCCCGGCTTTAACAATGGCTGCTTTGTTCCTGCAAACAAAAATTGGTGTTTCTTTATCTCTTCAGAATCTGGTAAGGTCTAAAATGGAGAAAAATATTGAAATAAATGCTTAAGTTTTATGCACATTGTTCATTTTAAGAAATGGAAAGTGACTTAACGAATGAAACCAAATCAATTTTGGCAGACAAACAAACGAACAAAGAAGAAAAGCTTCCGCATAGAACAAACAAACAAAAACAAGAACAATGGCAACTATTTCAGGGAAGATCAAAAAAAGGGAGAAAGTTTTAATTTTTTTTCCAGAAATTCAAAACCTGAAATGGAAGTAAACATTCAGGAGAGGGATTGAGACTCACGCGTCGTTACCGATCCCTAGATTGAGCAGAGCGTAAAGCGACGCGATCTGAGCGTCTGCGATTCGCGAGTCGTCGATCATACTAACTAGCGGCGGAATCGCGCCGAGCATCGCCAGCGTCACTCTCGCCTCCGAATCCTCCTTCGCCAGCAACCGCACCTCACTCGCCGCCGTTAATTTCTTCTGACAGTCTCCGCCGTCGTCATCGAATCCACGCGCCGCCGCCGCCGAAGCTTGTAGCTCCCTAACCACGCGCTTAAGCACCTCAAGCGCTTCCTCTTTCTTCTTCGTCTCCACGTCAGCTTCCACCTCCGCTAGATTCAACAGATCGCAGAGCTTCTCCGATTTCTTCACTTTCTCCTCGAAATCCACGCTGTTCAACGCCGCGCCGATAGTATTGGCTTTCGCATCCCTCGATGCGACCGCTGGCTTCTCCGTTACCGTCACGTCGTCTTCCTCTTCACGGAGCTCGTGCCCGTAACGTGAGCTACCGCCGCAGCTAACGGCGTCGAAGATCTTTCTGCGGAATGCGGATCTAGAGAAGGTGCTCCAGAGACGGAAATGGTTACCGGAAGTAGAGGAAGAAGTGGTAGGTGCACGGTCGAGAATGAGAGATCCGATATTGTTCCGGTGACATTTGGCCATTGTTATCTTTTATCTCCGATTACTTCTCAAGCTAAACTGCATTTGCACGAGCCCAGGAAAGAGTGCGGAAGAAGATTTTTTTTCTTTTCTTTTCTTTTCGTTATGAGAAAGAGAGGTTTTTGTTTGTTTATTTGGAAGCGAAAACAGAGGAAACGAAAAATGAACTTCGAGATTAGCGAAATGTTGACTGTTGATTTATTCTTTGTCCTTCTTCGTTTACCCTACGAGTCTAAGCCCTGTGTTTGGATACAGCCATTAACTAGACCGCGGATAATATATTAAATGCTTTGTTTTTTTTTTCTCTGATGGCAATAAGATATTTAAAGATTTGAAGTCAAATTCATATACAATTTTGTAATCTTGACTATTAAATTTTTGATATATATGTATATAAGAGATTAATGTGTAACGATTTTTAAATCTTGAAGAAACTATGATCTATATCGTTTTTTTTTACCTATTTTCTCGATTTAATCTAAAGTTGGATTCTAACTTTTTTTTTATATAGAAAAAATGAATTAATTTGAACTGCATGATTCCATTTTCAAATAAATTATTTTGTTCGAAACACTTATTTTAAATAAAAATGAACACCATAAAAAACAAAATGGTTTCTTTAAGACTACGTATAACTCGTTATGTGATGGACTATGGTTTGTATAATTACGTATTTTTCTTTACTTTTTACGGAAATTAATGTCTTATGACAAATTGAATTCGGTGTCGGGAAAACGAAAAAAACAAACAGAAATGTATTCGGTGAAACGACTACTGATTACACCTTTTCTTTAGGCAACAACCAGTTAGGAAAGAAAGAACAAAAAAAATGTGGACGAGAAATGTGAGGGTACAAGAGAACGGTGAGGCCATTATTGTTATTGATTCCAAGTGTTCAGATTTATAGATGTGTCAGTGAAGCTTCTTATACAAATACAAGTCCCCTCGTGCTATGTTGAACTATAAAGTGCTACTATATTGAGGTCAGTTCTTTGTTTCCAAAAATTATAATTTTATTATAGACAACAATTTGTGATTTGTTTACGGGAATTAGAAAATTCAAAACTACCAAAAAACAAAAAATTTGAAAGGGTTCCCAAAAAGTTTAATAACTTTTCCTAGAATTGATTTCAAATAATAATTTCTTAAGAGTTTGAAACCCTTTCGAAACGTGTTTGTATTGTGGTCTTTTTTTTTGGGTTATAAGCTAGGTTTGGTATTTCAAAACAAAACTAAACAAAGGTATTATTTAGAATGGCACAAAATTGTTATCTCTACTCTACAATAGAGTTAGTATATATGATCTATGAAAAATCATTAAAATGAAGAGTATTTTTAGTCAAGAGCTTAATTAAAGTTAAAACAAATAAGTATATACATTATTGTATAATGTATATATGTAAATCTCACACTCATCTGACAGAGTGGACATCCACTAGGAGAATTCGAGAATGATTTCTCTGTGTTGTATTTGCTCACACCGCCACTATCTCAAAATCTCAAACTTCTACTGGATCGCACTCAACCCCATTTCTCACCAAAAACATTTTTGATTAATGTTAGCTACACATCGGACCTCTCACGGTAAATATCTCCATCCAATAATAAAGTTGTTTAGCTCCAGATTTTATAATTGGTTAACTTACATTTTCATCAATAAAACTAGTCTTCTATTGGTTTGGAGAACATTATATACCACATATCTATATTCTGTTAAATCATTATGTATTATTGCTACTTTTGAGCAATACAGAGTAAGTGGGAAATCTTGGATTATCGGCTGACTGATGGATGAACTCATGAACATAAATAGATATCATTTCCTTTTATTATTTAGAGATATCTGAGTAGTGACTACAGGATCGATGTTATATTTATCTACTCAACCATCCGTGGTCCATCGGATACGTACATCAATTAGCTAGTATATGACTTAACTTGCACTAATTCAACGGGAACACTTTTAACGTAGAAGTTTTGAATTTTATAGGTTTGTGTATATTCGATACTTAAAAAAAAAAAGAAAAAAAAAGACAAGTAGAACTCAATGGGAGGACGTACGGTGAGGCCAAGGGTGAGCCGTAGACGATCAAAGGAATGAAGGCGGTCATACTGAAACATGATAAAGGTCAAAGCACGTGGAATGTCAACTTTAGCCTGACTTAAGGAGAAGAACATTGAATAGATTGTTTTACTCGTAAGTCGTAAACTCCGTAACTAGTGAGCGCCTGACTCTTCCCATTTGTTTATTCTAGTCCCCAAAGTATTACACAGTATTTACCAATACTATATTCAATTATTTTTGAAATCTTCAAAACATACTATACTATTACTATATGTTGTGAATGAACATTATCACATCAGCCGGATACATTTTACTTTACAACATGGTATAATCAAATAAACCATTTTACTTTATCATCTAAAAAAGAGATAATACTAGTACATTAATAATACAATACCACATTTATCATCTAAAAAATAAATACAATAAAATAAAACCAAAGTATTATTGTAAAAATAAAATAAAATCACAAAAAATGCTTTCATTGAGAGTTGAACTCAAGTTCGTTCTCAATGGCGCCTATCATTAAAGCCCTCAAGCTGAGCTATGAAGCTTTTGGTTACAGTTTTAACTTAAAAATATAAATACTGTGTTTTAAAAACACATGTTCTTGAAATGTAGTATGTGACTGTGTTTTGAAAACAGTAAGTTATACATACTAACTAGTAAGATACGTTATTTAGACGAGTACGTTATTTTTAATTTGCGACATACTGTTCCTTATTTTAATATTCGACATGATTTATTTATTATAAATATTTTATAGCAAAAGCGTATAATTGACAATTGATACAACAAGTACAAAGCCTATGAACATTGGCTTGTTCATACGTGACAATTGACCAACGCACCCGCAATTTCACTGTGTACACAAATGCACGATCAAAACGATCAAGCCGATAGCAATTTAAACGATTCCAAGTATACATCTTAAGCTGGTTCATATAGGAGATCACTCGATCACTTTGCCGGATCGAACCCAATAAAATCAAAACTGGTCACGACTTTGACATGATGCACTCAATTGATACTTTGAATGCTTAACATGTTTAATAAAATTATATAAATAGAAATTATATGCATAATCCAATGAATCTGAATATGTTTAATCCGACGTACAATAACGCTCATGATGCGGGGTCTGTTGGGTTCAGAGCCGCCTGACATTTATGGGATCACAAGCAAATAACATTTTTGGTCCATTAAATAATTAATTTTAAAATTAAAAACATGAAATTATAAAATTTCAGCTGAAAAGTTTCGTACCTAACACCTTGAATGAGATAATACGAGCACTTACCAACTAAGCTAGTAAAATTTTCTTGAAAAAATTGGCCTATAAAATTAATCTTTCTCAGACCCTGAAGCTAATGCTTTGTATGCTTGTGCTCAGACACAACTCCGGTTGGATTACAATGTAAATGGGTCTGTTGGGTTACAATATATGATGCACAATAACACAAGAAGTACACATCTATATTTAAAACCAAAAAATAAAAAAAACCACACATCTACATTGTAACCTAACAGACCCCAGGTCACTAACTCAGACGTCCTAGTTAACTCCGTTTTAAACTTGTCTTCCTTATGGTCCAACACGTCGATGATAAACGCAATTTTTAAAGATTTTTACTTAGGACTTTTTAATGACTTTCTTAGGTTTAATCGTTCGCATTTAGGCATATATGCCACACATGCATTGATTTGTGCATGTTCACATTTTGCATTGAAATGAAGTTAAACATAGTTCCATTAATCAATTGGAGCGAATATACACATTTTCGGGTTCTAACGACATTTTCGAAATGAATCTCAAGATTGGACGAAAATAAAACTTTCTAAATCGTTTTCCAACGAATCCAAAATCATTGCGATCAAGATTAATTAGTCTATATGGATTCAGAATTATCTTTTAAAATATCGACTATTTATTTTTCTCAACCTTTCATGTCCGATCAATTGAATCAACGGTTTCAACATCTTTTTTTTTTTTGATAATATGATTTCAACATCCCATTAATCGTAGTTATCAAAGGTGTAACATTATATAATGTATATAATTTCAGTAAATAATTTTGATATTAAAATGAACCTATTCACGATTTTATAGCTCAGAGAAAAGAAAAATCAAGCAGAAAATAAGAAATAATTATTAAATACTTTAAAATAACATTTTTTATAAAAAAAGTTATTGTATCTTATACATAAAGTCTTATAATTTATCATATATATTATAAGCGAAGTAAAAATTTCGTTTAAAGCTTTCTCATTAAATCTCAGAGTGGCTAATTACCTTTTCCCCGCCTTAAAATTATTTTTAATTTAAAAAAAAACAAAAAAATTGTTTACAACTAAAATCACGATTATATATAGATTGTAATAATATTAAATCAAATCAAAATACATGATTGTATCTCAATCAGATCAAAATCTACGATTTTATCAAATCAAAAATCACGATTTTACAACTAAAATCATGATTTTTTTTTTAAAAAACGAAATTAATTTTATTTAAATTAATTTTTATAAAAAAATATTAAAACTCGAAAATCATCATATATAATTATGTTACTCCATAAATCTTTAAGTAAATCTTACTTAATAGATACTTAGATATTATTTTCTTTTAAAAAAAAAATAATTATATGAATTATAAAAAAACATTAGAAAATGAAAAATCATCATATATAGTTATGTTACTCCCTTAATTTTTAAGTAAGTCTTGATAAATACTTAGATATTGTTTTTTAATAAACAATATATATGAATTATCTGATTTGCATGTATTAATTAGATGGAATTACCCTATATACCATTCTGAATCGGATAATTCATATATATTTATATGTTTTATATGTATTCACATGTTTATATTAAATATTTATATGTTTTTTTAATAAATTTTAAGTTTTATTAAAGAATATATATGAATTATCCGAAATTTTTACAAAAATATTTGAGATGTAAAATTTATGTTTAAGTAGCTAAAATTCTAAGTTTTCTTAAGTTTGTATGTTGGAAGGATTCAATTCCATCTAATTTTGTATTTTCTTTATTTTTTAAAATTATTTAATAGGGTAACAAATAAATATTCTAGCACAACAATGTGAAAGAAATCGATGATAAATCATATACAAAAATCTGCAAATCTTGGGACCGTGAAAATGTCACAACCCTTTTGTGGAGACTCCACTTTACTTAAAGTCTTATTTTGATATTTGTTATAATTTTTGATATTTTTGTTATTAGCATCATTAAGAAATTTTGAGAATTTCTTTTTTGGTATATATGTTTAAGCTCTTTTTTAAAGTTGATTACCCAAAAATATTTTTGATTGTTCGAAAGGAGCAAGCTACAAAAGTTAATGCAGCTTTCTTATCTAATAATAAATATAACCCACTTTTAAGGAGAGTTTTAAGTTTGAAATGTGTATTTATCTTTTTTCTTAGCCTCAAAAGATATAGAGTCATAAAAAGTATGAAGAGTACGTAATATGAAAAAAATCATAAGGAGAAGAAGAATAAACCGTAAAAACAAAGAAGAAGACGAAGAAGACGAATGTGTTAAATAATAAAAAAATATGGGAATGATAAATTTGAATAAGAAATATTGGAAGAAGAAAAAAAAATGAAGAATAAGACATGAAAAAGAAAATAAGAAAAAATATGGACAAAAGAAGAATAAGGAAAAAACGATGAAGAAGAAAGAAAAAAAACAATGTAGAGGAAAAAATAAAAAACGAAAAACTAGAATTTATTTTAATTAAATTAGTTTGTGGATTATTCAGTTATAAAGTTTTTTTATGTAATTAATTTCGAATTTTATTTACTTTTTTAGTTAACTTTATTTTGATTTTTTATGTCTTAAATAGTTGTTTTAATTATTTTTAATTTATAGCATAAATTTTTGTTTTTTGTTTTTAAAACTTTTGGGCCCGCGCAAGTCGCGGGCTAAATACCTAGTTATAGGTCAAACTATAAATTTATATTTTGCATTTACATAGGCAACCTAATTTTTATAGAATTATATTTAATACACATATTTGGTTATAAAATTTTCTGAAATTTAATTGTATTATTGTCTGAATGGTTGACCAGAAAGGATTTGGTCCGAAGAATTTATATCGGTAGTATCTAAAAAGATTTTTTGAAGACATAGAAACAAATAAAAATCTATGAGACGTAAAAGGTATATGTTATTTGTTTCTAGAAAAGAAAGATATTTCAACCGGGTGTTAAAAAAAAACAGGCAAAATGGAGTATATACATGTATGCAAATATTATAAAAGGATATAGAGAGTAAATGCATGCATGCAATTCAAATATACAAAAAATAGCATATTTGCTCGTCACCAATAGGTCCAATAATACTCGGTAGTATGAGGATAAGGTTTGGATCTTGTATTGACAAATGCAGATGTTTTTGCAGTTGTTAGATTCGGACAATCAATTTTTAAATAACTAATTAAGATTTTGCTAACTTAATTAGATTTTTTTTTTTTGGTCAAGAGATTTTTTTTTATTAGATTTTTGTTTTCTTTCAAGAAAGGAAATTAATATATAGGAAAAAAAAACGAACCAGATTGTGTGTATATACATAGTAGAAAGAACACCAAAAAGGAAATATTTCTTAGGTTCAAAAAAATTAAATACATTTCATAATATGACCAAATTTGACCATTTCATAATATGACCAAAGATTAAACAAAAAAATCACCACTCACTCCATAAAAAGATAAGATTAAAAGATTAATAATAACCACACTCTCTCTCTATATATAAACATAAACAGATGTTACTAGCATCGGTAAGAAGCACTCGGACGTAAACTCCTGCATTTGTAGCATCTCGTACGCTCCTTCCTTGTTTTCGATTTTGTTGGTTTCTGAGATATTTCTCCGGTAACCAAATCCGACACAATCGAAGGTCGATCCCCTCTCTTACTCACTGTCGCCCTTTTTTATTTACAATATTTTACTGAAGTCAAATATCGAGAACTTCTTGTGTTTTTCGAGTTCTAATGGTTAATCAAGTAGCCATGTGCGGTGTTCAATTGCTTTTGATTTAGCTTGCTCCGTTTTTTTTTCCGTGGAAGGGTTTTTTTCGAAGTTGAGTTTGCAAATATAGGGTTTTGGGTTTTCTTTTTCTCATACCCAGCTTACAAGTGCAATTCTATAAGTTTTTCTTTTTGTCAAGATATTAGTTTTCCGAGAAATTTGTGCGAGGATGACACTTAAATTCTGGATTTCTGAATCTGGAATTCCGATGAGATTTAGAGACGATAACTTTTTGTTTTTTTGTCTTTTCTTTTTGGATTTGATGGACTCACCAACCTTCCGTTGATCTTCCCGCTTAGGGTTTTTTTGAACATTCATTATAATCAATTTTGTCAGATACGCTGATCAGAATCTTAAAACTTCTGTTTGTGGTGTAGATAATTTGCTATTTGGCGTATTTTGTTTTACGAAATTATCTCAAAAATTGTAGCTAACAATTTGAAAAGAACGTCTGCTTTACCCCTTTATTTTTTATTTTTATTGTAAAGTTGTTTTTCTTATATATCTAGGCTCCTGGTTTTGTTTGTATTCTATCGTTAAGCTTGGTGGCTCTCTCCTTTTTTTAATTTACTGACTGGAAACATTGTTGTGGACGTGTATTCTTGCAGAGAGATGGCTAGCTTTGTTGATAGGCTACGTGCACGGCCAGACCGTACACCAGTTTATACTTTTAATGATTCTGATTCTGATACCGAAGATGACTTTGTTTCAAAGAAAGATTTGATTATTGAACAGGTTGAAGAAGTAGCCGAAAGAGAACCGGTTTGTCTCTGTCTTATTTATTGTACAAATCCTAGTATTGGGGATGCGTTCATATATATATTTGCCCTAATAAATACTTAGTTTCAATATCTCTGAAAGGTTCTCCTTGGATGCACGATCTATTAACCGTCGATAATTGTGTGTTTAATTGCTTTACCCTTGCAGTGACCGACAATTACTTTCCATTTGTAGGTCAGTTCTCTTATCCGAATGGAAAAGATCTTGAATTGTGAAATGTGTTCTACAGCATCTAATGATCTAGATTCCAATAATTTGGTACAAACGCCAGTGTTCATCAAACAATATCTGTTAAAATGGAAGGGCTTATCATACCTCCACTGCTCTTGGTATGTAGTTTGTTAATTCTTATGTTCATGGTGGTTTTTGTTGTGCCTCTCGTCTGCTAAGCTGATATATAACTGGTGGCTTATATTTACTTTTTTCTCGTTTTGCCAATCATAGGGTTCCTGAGAAAGAATTCGAAAAAGCTTATAAATCTATCCCTCGTTTAAAAACAAGGGTAAAAAAATTTCATTTAAAAATGGAGTCAATGAATTATAAAGGAGAAGATTTTGTAGCTATTCCTCCTGAATGGACTATTGTAGACCGGATAATTTCTTGCAGGTTAAATGCCATTTGAAATTTTGAAAAATATGACATGTGGATTTCCTTGATGGTTATATGCGGTTGTGACAATGAATTGGCTTTTTCTGTTGATGTAGGGGAGAAGATGATAAGAAAGAATATCTGGTGAAATTCAAAGAACTTCCTTATGATGAATGTTACTGGGAATCTGAATCAGACATCTCAGCTTTCCAAAACGAAATCCAAAGGTTCAAAGATATTAATTCAGGTCACCAAAAAAGAAATTTTGAATATGATCAAAAAGATCATAAAGATTTCATCCACTTTGATCATACACCTGAATTTCTTACAGGTATTTAGGCTACTTATTTTGACCTATTGTATTGTTGCTATAGTGTTATGATATATTACTCTCCTTGTTTGCTACTATAAAAAGAATATGTTAATAATTTATTTGTCTTCGGTTATCAAAGGTGGATTATTGCATCAGTACCAGCTTGAAGGGCTTAATTTTTTGCGGTTTTCGTGGTCAAAGCGAACTCATGTAATTCTTGCCGATGAGATGGGGTTAGGTATGTCTTCATCAATATATAATTTCCCTCCCTAGCTGGTGACATGATATTTTTTATCAGTTATGAGAGGCTTTTGTATTTCCATTTATGTGACGTATTGAGATTTTGTGGTGTTACAGGCAAAACAGTTCAAAGCATTGCCTTTTTAGCTTCGCTTTTTGAGGAAAACTTGGCTCCGTATTTGGTAGTTGCTCCTCTCTCGACTCTACGAAATTGGGAGAAAGAATTTGCCACCTGGGCCCCTCATATGAATGTGGTATGTATGCAGTTGCGCACGCATCATGTATGGTACATGTTTATATACGGTTTTTTTAATGGAATGATGTTCATATTCATTTTACGTACGGTTTAGGTTATGTACGGTGGTACTTCTCAAGCTCGTGCTGTTATTAGAGAACATGAGTTTTACTTCCCAAAAGGAATGAGTGGAGGCAGTTGGGAAAGCAAGCAGGACAGAATTAAGTTTGATGTCATCCTCACATCTTATGAGATGATCAACATGGACACAGCAGACCTAAAACCAATTAAGTGGAAATGCATGGTATTTCTGTCTTATTTTAATGATACGCTACCTTTTCTGTCTTTCTTTATACCTCATATGTTGCTTATTATCATCTTTTCTTGGTTAGATTGTTGATGAAGGCCATCGGCTGAAAAATAAGGATTCAAAGTTGTTCTCTTCACTGAAGCAGTATACTAGTGAGCATCGTGTTCTTTTGACGGGAACACCACTTCAGGTTCGTTTGTTTCTTTGATTTAAAAATCTGTTTAAACTATCCTACATATGAGTATATTATGATCTGTGAAAGAGTGAAGCTGGATCCCTAATTTTTTAAAAACTCATGCATTTCTGTTCTTCATTTGCTTCACCTACCATTCAAACTTGTTGTGCACGGCATATACTGTTTTATTGGTAGTCTTTGTATATGGACAGTATATTATGCTGTTAATCTTTTATATATCATCACTATATATTGATTACCTGGTGCTTTTCAGAACAACTTGGATGAACTTTTCGTGCTCATGCATTTTCTTGATGCGAACAAGGTTAGCGAAATGATAGCACATATGAAATATGTAAATCTACTAAAATAGATAGTAGCATAGGCTGCATTGCTAATTTTTTCTTGTTTGTTTTTCCTAATACTTGCAGTTTGACAGCTTGGAGGAGTTCCAAGAGCAATTCCAGCATATCAATCAAGAGGAGCAGATATCAAGGCTCCACAAAATGTTGGCTCCGCATCTGCTCAGAAGTATTAACCAAAAACTTGATCTTAATATATATAAGTATAATTGAAACTTCGAGGTCAGATGTCTCACCAAGGAAGAACCATACGATCCATGGTGAATCTTGCTTTGATTGCTGTTTCAGGGTTAAAGAAAGACGTGCTGAAGGGCATACCTCCTAAGAAGGAGCTCATTTTGCGGACTGATCTGAGCAGCAAGCAAAGAGAAATTTACAAAGCTATTATCACCAGAAATTACAAAATATTGGCAAAAAGTGGAGGAGCTAAGGTAAGTTTTGTTGATCCGGCTGTGCTGATGCGGATTAATACATAAATATTTTTTTGTTTTTGGTTTAAGATCTTGATTAAATGTAGCTTGTCAAACTGTTGCAGGTATCGAACGTGTTAATGGAACTACGGAAAGTTTGTCTGCATCCGTATATGTTTGAAGGTGTGCTGCCAGAGTTTAAAGATGCACATGAAGCTTTTAAGTAACATCTCTCATCACAAAATCTTGACGGATTATTCCTATATAATATTGTGGAGTTTTTGTGCTGACTCTTGTTTGAACTTTTCTTTAACTGTAAAACAGACATTTCTTGGAGTCTTCTGGAAAGTTTCAACTTTTAGATAAAATGTTGGTCAGACTAAAAGAGCAAGGACACAGAGTTCTCATATACACACAGTTTCAGCACATGCTCAACTTACTTGAAGACTACTGTTTTTATAAGGTATATCTGATCTTGCTATAATTATGTGTCAATCCAAGATTTCTTCTAATTAGAGATTCGGAAAATACAAGTTTATTGACATGTTCAGTTGCTATGCAAATATCTTACGATACAGATTTTTCCTTCCACCACTCAAAGTTTACTTCTTTATATCTTGAGACGCCATGAACATTAACATAGAGTCTATTACTTGGCTTTATAACATTTTTTTATATATATTTTCTGTGGTCAGAAATGGTATTGCGAAAGGATCGATGGGAAGGTCGGCGGAGCTGAGAGGCAAAAACGGATTGATCGGTTTAATGCGGAAAACTCGAACCGGTTCTGTTTTTTGCTCTCTACAAGAGCTGGAGGGTTAGGGATAAACCTTGCAACCGCCGATACCGTCTTCATTTACGACAGGTTTAAGTTCCAACGTCTCTAAGAGGCTTTTTTTTTTCTTCATTTAAATTTTTTGACTAGGTAAATAATCCTTTAGAGCCTGAGTTTTTTTTTTTTTTTTTTTGTGGAAAAACTACTTGGATATGCCTTAATCGGAAGTATTATGATAAAAGCTTGTTGGTAGTTTGTTACCAAAAAAAAAAAAAAAAAAAAAAACAGAGTGGTTTCTTTTGATCTTCTAAGTTAAGACAGAGGAGATGTATTGAAATGTTTTTTTTTTTTCTACTTTTGTAGTGACTGGAATCCCCATGCGGATCTTCAGGCTATGGCTAGAGCTCATCGGCTTGGCCAGACAAATAAGGTATCTTTGCATGGCATTAATGGGTGCTGGAGTTGCAATTTTATTCTTATTTTTTATTTTTATTGAGCCTATATTTTGGTCTTTAGGTGATGATTTACAGGCTGATAAACCGAGGTACTGTTGAAGAGAAAATTGTGCAAGTGAGTAAAAAGAAAATGCTGCTGGAGCATCTCGTTGTGGGAAAAATGCAATCTCAAAAACTTAGCCAGGTATGCTTTTTTTGGGATTAAAAGGTAGAAATACCATAAAGATTTCATTCTGTAACTTGGATTTGAAGTAAAGGATAGAAACACCGGATATAAAGACTAAAAATATAGAAATGCCATATAAAAGTTAGGTCCATATATGTTGATGTGCTTAATGATTCGCATTGCTACAAGGTTTATTGACTGTTTCATTTACGTGACCTCAATCTAGGAAGAGTTAGATGACATCATCAGGTATGGTTCCAAGGAGCTTTTCTCAGAAGAAAATGAGGAAGCTGGAAATTTCGGAAAAATTCATTATGATGATGCTGCTATCGAAAAGTAATTATATTTTCTTCTTTTTTCACTTTCACCATCGTTAACTTCATGAAATGTTCGTGATTTATCTCTACCTCTTCTTCTGCAGGTTGCTTGACCGTGATCTTTTAGATGCTGAGGACGTCTCATTGGATGATGAAAAGGAAAATGGGTTTTTAAAGGGTTTCAAGGTTTTCTTTTACTTCCTCCTTTTACTAGATTTTGAATTATCTAAATGCTCAATATTTGTTTATGGTTCCTTGGAATATGTAAAAAGTATTGAGAGAGTAATGATTACACGGAACAAAAGTTACCCTGTCTGCATGCATTAATTCTGAAAATACGATTTCCCCTCTAAGCTCTTTGGTTGTTCTTTCATGTAAATTATAATTAGGTGGCGAATTTTGAGTATATAGATGAAAACGAGGCACCCGCATTGGAGGAGGCACAAGCTATAGAAAACAAGTCTTCAGGAGGCAAATCTGATAGAGCAAATTACTGGGAAGATTTGTTGAAAGACAAATTTAAAGTGCAACAAGCTGAGGACCTCAAAGCTCTTGGAAAGAGAACGAGAAGCTCTAAGAAGGTATACTGGCGATGTACATTATTTTTTCTGCTCCAAATCGTTTCATATCTTTTAGCAAATTTGGTGTTCTTATTCATCTTCTTGTTATTTTTACTAGTACACTGAAGAAGATGAAATTGCTGGTTTAGAAGAGAGCTCTGATGATGAAGCAGCTGATCCAACTGATCATAATGAAGCAGCTGATCCAACTGATCATAATGAAGCAGCTGATCCAACTGATTACAATGAAGCAGCTGATCCAACTGATCATAATGAAGCAGCTGATCCAACTGATCATAATGAAGCAGCTAGACAGGGAAATCAGGTGGCTAAAAGGCCTTATTACACTAGAAGAACTCGCGGTACTTATAATTATATATATATTTTTTTATGCTTGTCACTGAAGAAACATCAGTGGTTTCAAAGATTCCCCAATTAAGTAAGTTTCCCATTTTTGGGTGTAAGATAACTCGGAGCCAATACCTTTGATAGAAGGCGAAGGGAAATATCTCCGGGTGTTGGGTTTTAGCGAGATGCAAAGGAAGACTTTCTTAAAGACTGTGATGAGGTATATATATATACCTTCTTTCTCATATATAATATGTCTCAGTGTCTGCGCACAAGTTAGTTTTGTGCCTTCCTTCATTTGGGCATAGTTTTCACAGTTTTTCATCTGATAAAAAATTTGCAGGTACGGTTTTGGCGACTATGATTGGAAGCAGTTTGTTCACCCCTTAAAGCAGAAGACCTATGATGAAATAAAAGAGTACTAGACTTAACTTGTTATGGAATTTTTATCATATTTTTTTTTTTCTTTGAAAAGATTGATGTGTTTTCATTAACAACTTGTTTAATTCGTCTTTGCTCAGTTATGGAATCCTTTTTATGAAGCACTTGGCGGAAGACGATAGTGAAGAAACTTCACTTACTTTTTCAGGTGATTGATTACTTATGTGATCATTTGTTTGTTGCAATTTTGTTCTGTTATATATCCATTGTGTTTTTTTTTCTGCTATCCTAGTAAAGTTATTAACGCAATTAATGATCTCTGCAGATGGAGTCCCCAAAGAAGGGCTAAAACGTGAAGATGTACTTGTCAGAATTTCTCTTCTGATGCTCGTTGAGGAGAAGGTAAGCCTACGTACAGACTGAAATCTTGTAATATGATTTTTCTCTGCTGCATTTTTCAGTCTTTACCGTTAGAACTAGAGGAATCCACCTTCCCATATAGATCTCTTGTAGATTATTCACTTTTGGTTTGTGGTTTCTATATATCTCTTACTTGAGCTTCTTGCGTGATAAAAAATTGGGTTTGCATGAGCTCAACTCTCAGTGTTTGGATTGACAGTTGAAATTTTTGGAAGACAATCCGGAAAAACCTGTTTTCCCTGACCACATCGTCCAAAGATTCGGTGGACTAAGAGGTCAAAGATCTTGGAAGCAGGAACATGACAAGTTACTGCTCCGTGCTGTCTCCAAGTAAGAACCCTTCAACGAGCATCTTTACCTTTAACAAAAAAAAGAGACATTTTTCTCTTGCTACTAATCTCTTATATATGCTGTTTCTCTTCTCTTGAAACATGATGTTTCATGTAGGCATGGGTTTGGAAAATGGCTAACCATTCTTGATGACAACGAGTTGGGGATCGAAGAGTTCATCTGCAAAGAATTGAAATTTCCTTATATGATTACTGCTGATGAACAAGCTGACTTGCCAGAGAGTAGCAATGCTTCTCGTGATGGAGGCAAGATCAACCCGATGCTTAAGCACAGAGATACGCAGAGAAGATTTGGTGACTTTTTGAGAAGACGTTTTCAAGTTCTGGAGACGGCCATGAATTATGAGTATGCTTTAGAGTACCATGTAAGTATTATTTTGTGCGGAGTCTAACATTACTTTTCTTGCTTCACATGTCGCTGCAGCAGAGCATTGTTCATCTGTATCGATCTTTTGTTGCAGGGACTACAAAATGGTCCATCTCCGATACTACAAAATGATGAACAAGTGGAAGCTACTGAAACAGAGGTGATGGATACAGCAGGAGCGAGCGTTAATGATGATGTTGAGATGAAGGACTCAGAAGAGAAAGCTGCAGAAGATGTTGATGTTAATATGGAAGATGCAGAAACTAACGTCACTGTGTTAGATTGATTTGAAGAAACTCAAACCACCAAGAACAAGAATCAAATCATAGGCATCATTGTTTATTTCTATCATTTATCAATATTCAAAAGGAACATGGATTAGGAATTATTGTTACTTCGTCTCTGCTACATTGAGAACAGTCAAAATTCAGTCTTTTTAAACAATAATGAATCAAGTTACTGGATTTTCTTGCTTACATTTAATCCAAATATTTCTGTTTTTCCTTTTTAGTTTCTTAGGTACCAAATTTAGTTAGGTTATATGCTTAGTTAATAGTTTAGATAGATTTTTGTTATGATCTGAAATTTTTTCGAAACTGAAGTTAAAATACTATGCCAAAATAAGATTTTTAATTATCACATTATTTTCTTTGAAACTACTACTCTTGATCAAATATGCGCGCGGACAAAAATTGAAGCAACTCCAGACAGCATTAAGCTTAGTGCAAAAGCTGATTCACTAATCTCTTCCTGAGTTCTTAGCTTAATCCTGAGTCCCTGACATGTCTTTTTCAACAAAGTCTTAATCTTTGATGATCATCTTCTTTTGATTAAGTGTAACAAAGAACTGCCTTTTGAGCCCTCTCAAAACTCAAGACACTTCTTGAGAATTTCAAGCAGAGAACATTCCCTGACCTATCAACTAGCTCGGATTTGTTCGCATTTATTTTGATAAGTCTTCACTTTGGAATACTTGGTTTGAGATAGAAAGACAGCGTTATTATATAATAACGCAATATACATCATAAATCATAATGCATACATACACGTTAAAAATAGAATTTAAAATAGATTAATAATTATAAAAAGAGAAAAGAGGAAAAGAGAGGAGTAGCAGAAAACAGGGAAAGATGTGAGAAAGAGGAGACAAAAGAGAAAGGCTTTAATTCCACGCTTGCTCCAAATCCCAAACATATACCAACTTCTCCACGATCCTTTCTCACTTTACACTTTTCTTTTTGTTTAAGGATTTCGGAAATTAATTAGTTTTTTTGAACAAAAATCTAAAATTGAACGTGATTGATTAGAGGACAATATTAACTAGCTATTATACAAGGGATAACAAAGAACAAAATTCTTTATGTAGTAATGTGAACCCATACAATTATATATTTGACAAACATTATCAAATAACAAAAATCACTCGTCGGATCAAGACATACGCACATATTGGTGATGATCTATATCTGTATTGTATAGATGCACAAAGAAAGCTTCGTTAATTCCAAGTTTTCAATGACTATCTCATATACAGCTGCATATATGCATGCATACACGTGTTGTACGCATTTAAGTCCGTACGTTACGTATACTGTAACGATAGTTGGATATAAACATGTTTCAAAGGTATGTAAAGCAAGGGACAAGCCAGGCTGTGATGTTCCTAATCATCCTTCTTACGAATCGGGATTTTGACTTCTTTTTTTTTGGATTTTAATTTAATCTTCTTTATATGGCCGAATAATCAATGATAATAATATTAATTAGAGGCAATTATTGATTCGTTTTATTTTCTTCTTAAATTGCTTGGTTTCTCGTAGGTTGGTATTTTCCGCGTTAAAATGTTACCAGCAATGTAAAGGCAAGGAAACGGCGCGTTCAATCGAAAGATCCAAAATTGACTTGTGTAGGAAGTAGGAACCACTTTTTATCGTCAAAGTTTTGATAGAGAAATCGAGAAAAAGTCAGATTTTTCATTTTTACTTTCTTTCAAAACTGAGTTATAAACACGACACTATGTATATAGAAATTCGAGCTTAAAATGAAACCAACTAGAGCGAGGAACCAACCGCCAATTCTTACTACGAAGAAAAAATGGTGTTCAAAATGAACAACACTCTGAATATATTAAAAGTTTTCAGCTAACTGAAAACCTTTAAAAGTTAAGGATATCCTCAATCAATCCCAATCATATGAAAGGTATATATATATATATATATATATATATATGTTTATGAACGTTTACATTTAGTATATATTGTTCTAACTAAATCCATAATTTGAAGTATATACTAAGTAGAATTTGTTTGTTACTTGTACATGTAACGCCAGAGACAAACTAAAAACCAAAAAGGTTTTCCTTCCGTTTATGTTTGACGTTTGCATTTGTATTTTGCCATAAAAAAAAAATTAATAGTAAGAAGAAATTATATTTTAAAAATGTGGTGTTTTTATATAAAAGAATAATAATTGTTTTCCCTTGTAAACCAAATCGCAAACCAATCAACTGTTTTTGAAACTGACGAGGCTATAATGGGGGATATTTTACTTGTATTTTATCTGCAACAATAGTGTATGCTTGACCTTTTATGTAATAAGTTCATATAAGGTCTTAACTCTTAGGGAAGGATAGCACCCCCGTGATGGAGGTCGTAGGGTTTGTATGATTGTGTACACTGTACAGTCTTTTCATTTCACCTAACCCTATTGTGCGAGACAGATCATACCTACCTTACGCATTACGCTTCTACTATATTTATACCGATTTTTTTACTAAAATATTTATACCAAATTACCAACCAAATTATATGTGTATTTCAACTATAGCTTATTGCGTTAATACATTCGAGGTGAGTTAAACAAAAAACTTATTATAATGAAAAAAAACTAGAAAGTAAAATACAAACTACATGTCGTTGTTTATTTATATATATGTGAACCTAATTTAAAGCCAATGCCAAAGCACATATAATAGGCTTTCGATTTTTTATATATATATATATATTATGGCATTGTATCTTTACAACCATTCGCATTTGATTTTAAATAACTAAATGATTATAAACACCACCAATAGTAAGATAAAGATAATTAGTGCTGAAACTAATTAATCATCCGTATGCATAGACCACTTAGATGAAAATTAGATTATTAATTATTAAAAACCCCTCGAAACTATCTGAAGAGACACATAGAATGGCTCCTTGGCATATGATTAAGCCCCTTTGATTTATCTTCTCATATATATATAGGCATATGTTACACTTCTTATTACATGCACACACCCACATCTTGTATTCAATTCCTATACACACATCTGCACTTATGTTAATGGCAACACATATCGATATAATCCAAAAGCTCAATGTATATCCAAGATTTCAAAACCAAGACCAGAAAAAACTAATCACTCTCTCCAATTTAGACCGTCAGTGTCCGTTACTCATGTACTTGGTTTTCTTCTACAAGAAAACCACTAGTGGTGACTTTGATTCGGTCTTTTCCGACCTCAAACTCGGGCTGGAGGAGACTTTGTCTCTTTGGTATCCCGCTGCTGGTAGGTTGGGTTTGGACGGTGATGGCTGCAAGCTCAACCTTCGGTGTAATGGAGGCGGCGCAGTCATAGTGGAGGCGGTGGCGACAGGTGTGACATTGTCAGAGCTTGGTGACTTGACTCAGTACAATGAGTTTCATGAGACTTTGGTTTACAAGTCTTCCTTTGATGGTGATTTCTCTGTGATGCCTCTTGTCGTTGCTCAGGTAAATTAACCGTAAATAGTACTATACTTTATTTTCAGCAATAATTGTGACCTATAAAAAAATATAGGTACCTACTTTTTGATTTTTTGCCAACATATTAGTGTTAGTATTTTATGTGTATATATCAATGTTTTTTTGGGGGTCATCTCGTATACACCAATGTTTATATACGTACTTTCCTGGATGTGTAGAGTTTTCATCTATATATGATTCATGCCCAATTAGGATAGACCTACACACAAGAATTAGTTATAATTTTGTTCCAAAAAAAGAATTAGTTTAAGAATTCTGAGATCGAATTCGACTTAGAACGTACGTTCATGTTAAACAAGGCCGTTTATAAGCAAATATTTTCGTCAAGTCTAATTTAGATAAAATTTATGTTTTAAAAGTTTAGGATGGTTTCTTGATTCTGTGTAGGCCAAGCTAATATTCCATGTTACACCGTTAAGTACTATTATTTTAGGCAACCACGCAAGATAAGTTTAGGTGACAAGATTTGATGTTAACTGTTTTGATGTTATGTCGAAATGTAGGTGACAAGATTTGCATGTGGAGGGTACTCAATTGGAATCGGTACAAGCCACTCGCTATTTGATGGAATCTCAGCTTACGAATTTCTTCATGCGTGGGCTTTCAATTGTCACAGTAACAACAAATCCAGTGGTACGAATACTAATGAAAAGGATAATTTGGTCAGCAAACCGGTTCATGATCGAGGAAATCTACTGTTTAGCGAGGATGGTATCCGAGCATCCAAGGCTGTAGCCATTTATCATCTGTACCAGCTGATCAAACAAGCCATGATGACCCATCAGGGGCAAAACTGTAATTTTGAGTTACCAGACTCCAGTTTTGTGATCAAAACCTTCGAGCTTAACGGTGAAGGGATACAAAGCATGAAGAAAAAATCAGCAGATGGATTCTCGTGCTCCTCCTTTGAGTTTCTTGCTGCTCATTTGTGGAAGGTAAAATCAAGAACGTTATTTAACATATCCTTTTCACTAAAGTTCTTTATATTAGGTGGATAATCAATAAGTGATATGATTTTTTTTCCATGAAATATTAATGTGCTTTTTCAAATGAAACCACAATAAATAAATTTTATTTGAAAAAATAAAACGCAAACGGAATGAAAGAACTTAAATGATGTTTTGAGTTTGCGTCTAAAATTTGTCAAAACGTTTTACATAAAATGAATCTGTTATTTTTTGAAAAATTGAAATTAATTGAAGCCATTATAATATACATTAATATTAATTCTACGTATTTATTTTCTTGTAACCAAATCGTATATGTGTTTTGCAGGCAAGAACAAAAGCTTTAGGGTTGAGGAGAGACGCCATGGTGTGTTTGCAATTCGCGGTGGACATAAGGAATAGGACGGAGCCGCCACTGCCGGAAGGATTTTCCGGCAACGCCTATGTTCTTGCCTCAATGGCAACAACCGCCGGAGAATTACTCGAAGAACTAACACTCGAGTCAATAGTCAACAAGATTAGAGAAGCCAAGAAGTCAATTGACCAAGACTACATCAACGCTTACATGGAAGCACTTGGAGGAGGTGATCAAAGAAATGACGGAAATCTCCCTCCTATCAAAGAGCTAACCCTAATATCCGACTGGACAAAAATGCCATTTTGCGATGTTGGCTTTGGCAACGGCGGCGAACCGGCGGATTACATGGCACCACTGTGTCCTCCGGTGCCACAAGTTGTTTATTTCATGAAGAACCCTAAAGATGCTAAAGGGGTTATTGTAAGGATTGGTTTGGACCCACAAGATGTTAATGATTTTGCAAATCATTTCCTTGGTTATTAATAGGATGATGTGATAATTAATTAGCAGAATCTTTGTTAATTACTTATGTTATATAAATATATGATGATGGCTCCACTATTTGCATGCGTGCGCTAAAGACACTTTATTGTAATTGGTTTATGATGGATTTATAATGACATCTCTATGCTTTGTGTATTTGTCGTTATCACTTTATATTCTGAATAAACTCAATTTCCTTCCCGAATTTCTGGATATAAATTAAGTATATAAAGTAATATACTTTTATGTTATCTTTATAGACTTTTTCCTTAGGTCCTTAATGATGGGTGGTTGACACTGGACACCTAGCCAGGCTTTTCGGTATATATGGGTTCGATTTACAATGCCCCATGGTTGAGACTTGAGATAGGGTACTTGTTAAAGAATGTTCATAGTTAGTTATCAGATTAATGTTTTAAAAACTAATTAAGATTTTTTTTTTTGTAGTTGATGTGACCAAATTATTCGAGATAAAAATTCGTTTTCCATGTACTGATAAGTAATGAATCCTAGTTTCCTAGTGACAAATCAATTTGCATGTAATTGATATGATATACAAATCTTTTTTGTTTTGGCTACCGCTATATATAATTTTCATATTCGTTATTGAACCATGATGGCTGACATGTTTTTTTTTCTCATAAAAAAAAATGTTGTTAACTAATAGGCAGAGGGCACTATATAAAACAGAGCATTTTACACAATTTACTATTGTTTGCTACATTGGAGAATAACTACAACTTCTACATGTCCTCTTCCTGATGTAAACACTAAAACACGTATTTATTATTTCTTCTCTTTGTACGTACTTTCAAAGTCAAGTTTCAACGCATGAGTTTGGTTCTACTTCATGATGGATAATACCACTCTTTAAGACCATAACCGCCAAATACTTCCGACTTTTCATAGTTTGCTAACACAGATTACGAAGATTTTATAATAGCAAAGAGGGCATTTTGAATTTATTTATTAGATTATTCTTCTTCTGGATCTTCCTAAGCTGTTAAAATCAGTGAGGAAACTTGTAATCAAGAGCTTAGAGTCTCCTTACACAAAAAAAAAAAAAAAAAAAAGACAGAACCAAAGATAATAATAATTGATTGTGTCTGGATAAAAACACTTTCTCATGTTGGCAAAGAAAAGGTGGGGTTCTCATATGCATGTTCTGTGGGAGTTAAACCATCCAAACCCCAAATCTCCTTCCCCGAAATCAGCTTGGCTCTGTTCCTGTTACATTGAAATAAACAAATGTTAGAGATCTTCAAGTGAAAAATAGGCTACTTAAATGCTTTATATATATACCTGTGTCATCATGGAGTTGACGATATCATCCAAGGAACCAGCATCTGAAGCCATGAAACCGCTCTCTACCTTCTGTTGTCCCATGACTAAACCTTCCTTTGTATTGTTACTTGTCAACTGTTGAGCATCTGTCATTGGTCCTAAGTTGTTTGCATACTGCTGCTTTATCTGTAATGGATTAAAAATCTCTGTTTGTGCAGAGTTTGACTGTCCGAAATCCGTGTTCCTGCAGAAAGATGTCGGATTTGTATCCACGTTTGTGTTCATTAGCGGACTGGCTGAGTCGCAGAACTGGTTCCATTCCAAGGCGTCTGGTTTTGAATGAGCACCACTCTGTGGAATGTTGGTTGATGACAATACAGCGTTTGACCAATCTTCAAGACGCTTGTTCATCTCCAAGTGAGGAGAAAACCCTGGGATTGAGGATGGAGATGATGACTGCAGGTGACCCTCAAGAACCACTGGAGAGCTTTGTTGTGAAGTAAAGCTCGGGAAAGTCTTGTTGTTCTCAATATGAAGCCCTTGTAGTGGCGGGATTGGCAATCCCTGAAGTATGTATCCTCCTCCATCATTGTGGTTGCGAGGAAGCGATGATGAGACATGTGGGAACATTCCTGCAAGGGAGTTTAGGCGACCAAGAGTCCTATTTGAAGGGTACTGTCTCATGGTTGCAGCTCCACCATGGAACTGACCGGATCCAAGAGGTATTGGACGGTGGTGGTGGAAGCCGCCAAGTCCTTTGAGAGAACTCATTTGCATGAAATGTGAGTCCATGGCCGCCATGTTAGCTTGTTGATTGGTTTCATTAGTTATTTTCTTCAAGGCGGAGCGGAATTTCTGCAACCAAAAGACATTACATTTGTGTTAATGGGATTCATACTAACCAATGGATCAAATCAGATGAATCATACTCTTGTCTCTCTCTCTCTCTTGCTCTCTCACCTGAAGGTGGCTCGCGACATTCTCTCTTGTGAGCTTTTCAACATTCATCAGATCAAGAATCTTCTTTGGTACAGCTTCTGCATCATTTTATAACTCAAGTCAAGAAAACGATTATGCAGAGAAGCTAAATTATTATAAAACTAGAGGTAGAGAGATCAAGAAACATTACTCTCAACGCCCAAATGATCAACAGCAGCTAGGAACTTATTGTGCAGCTCGCGCGTCCAAAGAACACGAGGCTTCTTTTGAGCCGTTGGATCATCGTTTTCAATCCCTCTTTCTTCATCTTCTTCTTCCTCTTCAAACTGATCTTTACGTTTTCTGTTTGCTTTTACGCCGTTCTGATCAGAGTTTCCCTCAGATTCACCATTACTCAAGCTGCTCTTCATCTTCTTAAACTTGCCTTTTCTCACCACGTGTTGCCATATGTTCTTGAGCTCCTCAATTCGAACCGGTTTGAGCAGATAGTCGCAGGCACCGTGCTTGACTCCTTTCATCACATACTTTGGATCGCTATGAGCAGATAACACTGCAAGCATCAATCATCATGTCAAAGGTCAAAACTTTCTCTCTAGGAAACATGAAAAAGAAAGCAAAGAGAGGAACTAAAACAAGGCAGGGGGATTTCTCATACTTATGACAGGTAAGTCCATTTCAAGACCAACGAGCTCAAGCAGCTTGAAACCATCCATGTCTGGCATGTCGACATCGCTAATAACGAGATCAAACTTGTTCTTGTTCTCCCTCAACAACTTCAGTGCCGTCTGTGCCTGGTCCGTTGTTGTTACTGCACATATAATTACCCCCAAAGTCTCAGTTTTTACAGAGCAATAGACTCTTTTTAAATTCAACAAAACTATCAAAAAATAAAAGTTGAAAGTTAAGTCAGAACCAATGAGCTTTGTGACACATGCCGAGCAATCAAATCTGTAATATTTCCCCAAAGTCTCAGTTTTTACAGAGCATAAAACTCTTTCGATTTCAACGAACTCAAAAATAAGTAAACTGTTCCACCAGTGAGATTTGTAACACAATTGGAGCAATAAAATCTGAAACTTGTGATTTGTGTAGTAGCAAATCCAGATAATTGGTAGAACTTCATATGGTGAATCTAACTAAATCTTAATTCGATTCCTCACACCCATCTCTAAAAACATATAAATCTACAGAGGAATCGATTTATATGGTTTGACAAAAAAAAAACAAATCCGAGGCTAAATTTTGTAGCATAAGTAGATAACCAAATCCAAACTTAAATCAAAATCTTTTAAGAGAGAGAGAGAGAGAGAGAGAGAGAGAGAGAGAGAGAGAGAGAGAGAGAGAAGGAACCGTGATATTGGCAGCGATGAAGCAAAGTCTCGAGAATACGGAGACAAGTTTGGTCATCGTCAACGGCAAGAACTCTCATCCCCACTGGAAACTGGTCTAAATCTTGTTCCACAGTCATCGTTAAGAGATTTTTCGACGAACCTCAGAGACAAAAGTTTATGAATTCAAGTAGAAAAACAACGTTGGAGACAAATAGAATTACTTGTAGTAGTGGATTATATAAAGATTCAATGTATGGATGGACTAAGAAAGAGATTTGATTTAGAGAGAGAGAAAGAGACAATAGTATTAAGAAAGTGTGTAATTTTTTTTGTTTTCCCTTCTGGCAAAAGAGAATCTAAGCTATATATGGTTACTGAAAACTCTCTGATGATCATAAAAACTTAGCCAATTAACTCATTTTTGGAATTTTCTTTTATGATTTTTTTAAAGCTTTCCTAGTTTTCGAGAGTGGCCCCAAAATAAAGAAAAATGTATTGCCATTAGAAAACAAAAAACATTTTCGGACGAGAATCTGTTAGAAAATTCAGTAGACCGATCGATCATTTGAGCGTGAGAATCACGCGCCTCATGGAGCGGAGCTTTATCATTGGTTTTGGCTTCTTTTGACTGTCTGGGGAATATTTATTTCGGCTGAGAATCCAAAATCAATATTATGACCTTGTCCGGTTCGATTTCAAGAGTCGGTTCGGTTCATAGGAAAAATCCTTGATTAGCATTTAAGAATATAATTGTCCATTCAGATTTTTAACTATTTTGGTAGAATATCTCACTTTCGTTTTTTTGCTTAGAAAGTCTAGGTGGACTGGTAAAACCGGTGTGTCTCAAACCAGTATCATAAACCGGAATATTCAGGTTTCGTTATTTACACCATTCACAACGTCTACATGCCCCTTGGTCTAAAATTACAGATTTTTTTTTTTTGAATTTTTCTTACGACTATTTATTATTGGATTATTTTTTGGATAATGATGTTAATTAAGAAGGAAAGAAGTACACAAATGGGAAATTATTTATGTAGATGATTCTGTATATCATCTAATTAAGTTAAGAGATATGTTTTAGATATTGTGCAAAGCATTCCAGGCAGAAAATTGAATTTTAGTTATTACCATAATTTGAAACAGAATTTACTACATTCCTATATCTATGTCTTTCGATTTTAATGGAAAAAAAAACGAGTGTATGGCAAAACGGATTTACCATAGTAATTAATGCAAATTAAGGTAGTAAATTTTTTTTTAATAAAAAGTAAACGAGCTGAGATAAGGACAGGCTTTAGGGAAAGAGCATGGTGAAAGTTGGGAAGTGCGAGACACGCGTGAGCGTGCTTCATGGCTTTTTCCTCTTTCGTACAGTTTCAGAAAGATTTAGGAAGATAAGTATCCCTTAATAAACAACTAATAATGTTTAATGCCGATATTAGACACACGTGGATTATATTACACTCTTAACATAGTATGAAATTATAGAAACAAAAACTTTTATGAAGAGAAAGATGTTATATGGTTCAGCATGTTTACAATTTAGCAGGTTCCGTGCAATGATTTGATGTCAACATTAAAGCATTAAGCACGATATTTATCCATCGCCGACCAGTGTATCGTATGCCCTAATTAAATTTTGAAGTCAACAAAATAATTTGCGGTCGCAAGTTTTGTTTATATATTTAGAAAAAATATGGAGTATCATTTACTGATCAGATAGTGCATTCAGCTACTCTTCTTGTTGCTATTGCTATCTAAATTTCTTGAATCGTGATTTTTAAATTCAAGTAAATTATTTTCAATAGACAAAAAATAGAAGTTGGGCAGCAAGGAAAATAAAGATGAAAATCTTAAAATAATTACAAGAATTTCTTGAAGTTGAGTCCCATCCACATCCTCAGCCTACAAGCTTGGTGGATGCAAAATAAGATCCCAATGATTTTGATACACTTTATGTATTGAATTTGAATTTATTAAAACAATCATATTGTATGCTTTCTTTCTTGGATTGACAACCTTGCGTGTTCATTTTTGTGCCTCTCATTTCCTCTCATTATGTATCGGTTTGTAGATGTGTAATAATCTAGGGCAATCTCTTTTTTATATTAAATGCTGTTATCAAAAGTTTGAATCAGCAATCTTAATATTTCTATAGTACCACAAATCAAATAATTTCTACGTTTACGAAAATTTTCTATAGGAAACGGACCTAAATTTTTAAGAACCCTTTGTAAAGTCAAATTTTTATGAAGTTGTGAATTTTTAAAACTATAATGTTTGTGTGTATTTTACAGTAATTCTCTCGATGCTACTGAAAAGTGGAAACATTGTAAGAAAACACAATCACATCATCTACAGACAAAGAAAATTGAGTTTTAGGAAATGATAGTATTACCTAACTTAAACAACAATTTAAATAAATGTGAAACTGATAATGAAAACTGAAACTACGCTATCATTTTTTTCTTCTACATGTATTCGCAAGTATATTAAAACTAAAACTAATAATATATATATCAAATTAAAAGATTAATATTAAAACTTTTTATTGTTTCTGTTAAAATTCAGAAAAATTGCAACTCTATCTGTCGAATGAGAAAGTCTTGATAAACCAATAATAAAAGAAAACAGATATATCAAGATTTTACTTTCTAAAAAGAACATCAACATATGTTCGGTGCAATGCATTGGAAAATAAAAGACAACTTTCTGATACGAATTACTATCATTAGTCACCCAGTTTTTAAAAATTTCAGTTGCATATGACATTAGAGAAATTAAAGAATGGGTTTTCTAGAAGATACATGTTATGCACCAAATCTGTGAAGATTCTACTTCTTATACTTATTGGAAGTCACTTGTCATTAGCTACTGTCATTGGCTAATATAGTCTCATATATTATAAACAAATATATTCACATTTAAATATTAGAAAGAAGATGCATAACAGCAACACTTTGGTGTTATGTTTAAGAAAAAAAAATGTGAAGAGGAAGATGCTGATAAAGTTTAATAATACAAGAAAGAGAATAACTAATAATAAATGGAGGAGAAAATCAAAATGAACCTAAGTTGAGGTAATCTTGTCTCCCACAAGGGCTAACCTCAACCGTCATTAAAATGCTTCTTGTTCGGTTGCTTCCTAATCATTTCCTACTCTATTACTCTCACTTATTTATATCATCCACGTCCATTTTAGAAAAGCCATATATATTTCATCATGAACCTTTTGTTCGTTCATTGCTCGAAATGCATTTGTCGTTGACTATTAGATCGTCGTGTTGATAAAAGCATGAATAAATTCTGACTGATTACTGATACACATACTTAGCTTCAACTCTATACTAACGGTAGTGGAAACTGGCTGCAAATCCTAGTCCAAAGTCTTTCCACTTCATCTTCCAAATTTTGTGTGTATGCCTGTTGCCTGATAACGTTGCCATGATCACTTACATTTCTCATTACTCTATAGGTTTTCACTTTTCAGTGTATATTTTGTAATGAAATATTAGAAACGTATGAATGTTAAATTAGAATTAAATTTAAAAATATGGACTAACATACTCTACTTATATATTTTTGAACTAATATATACTTAGTTACAGTTACACAGCCTAATTGTCTCAGACTCTCAGCTAGCCACGTAGAAGGTTTTGGATGGAAGCGCAATTACTTAAAACTTACGAAGCATATATCGAACAAAATCATTAAAAATGGGATTCTGTGGTGAAAAACAAGAAAACTCATGTTTTGTTTAATTGGATTAGCTTCCTAATAAATAATATCGTCACTGAACGAATTCAGTGAACTAGCTTCCAACTTATTCTTCTGACCATTTTTTAATTTGTATATTACAAAAACTTCCAAACAAAACAAAATTACAATGTACATTATATTTTTCTGCATTTTTAAGCTTATCATTTCCGCAAAAGAAACTGGACAGCGCGTAGTGGAGTAATATACAGAAACATTTCAGAAATTTATCCTGCTGGAAAATTGGCCCAAGTTATTCATCTAAGGCCCAATTCTACGTTTTTATTTCAGACAAGCAGTCAAAACTGCCGCACCAATTAATACAGTAAGCATTATGCACCTAAAGACAAAAGTAGCTAAACCCAATGTTTCTACTTATACTGATAACAATATAATCAAAAAGATAAGACAACAAAAATATTCATGTTTACTTAGCGATGAATGAATCCAGCTTTCTCAACCATTGTATAAGCTCAATCCTATCCTTATTCATCATATATTCATGCAAGAAGAAACAAAGGTCCCCGTCGACTCCTCTTACTCGCAAAAACTCCTTAATCGCTGTCTGAAATTCATACTTCAAACTCCTGCAACGAAACAAAGGTCACACACGTTTCAGTAGTTGCATTTTTAACTAGCAATTTCCTCTACGCGGGATCTTACTTGGTGTATCAACAAAATTAAGAAAAACAAATCTAATTTCATGTATAAGATACTTAAATGCTTCACTCTACAGTTAAAGTGATTCAAGAAAGCAGACACAAGTTTTGTACCCGAATTTGGGTCCCATGTAAGGCTGACGAGTGATTTTGTTGCGTCTAAGCATGTAAAGCTTCTGAATTTCAATCCGGTTAGGCCAGACGGAGCAGAGGAACTCGATGTCTTCACTTCCATCAGCTTTGGAAATGTCGACAAGCAAGCTAATGTGGAGACGGAGATCGCGCCCTGAAGCATCTAAACCGGTTCTTGGAAGAGTCATAAACCCATCAAACATAGTTGCTTCCATTTTGATTGTCTCGTCTTCTCCAAACTTCCCTTTCATCACAATGCATTGTTCACGGGGACAATCCTCAACAGCAAACGATTTGAATTCAGTCGCTGGCTGCATCATTTAAAGTGAAAAATTCATCATCATAACGAAATGAACCAGCATCTCTGCTCTTCCCATTTGCAAAAATCTAATTTGATTAAAAAAAAAAACTCTAATTTCTTGATGCAAAAATCAGAATAAATTGATTCAGATACAGTGATTCTTGTCTTTGTTAATGTCTCCCTCATCAATCTACTTCACTAGAACAACAGAATTGTCGAAACTAAGTACGCATTACAAAACCTAACACAAGGGGGATTAACGGAAAGTAACTCTCTAACACTTCAATTCATTTCCCAGATAAGAACTAATCAGATCCGAAATGTAAGATTAGTATATAAAAACCGATTTTCCAGCTCTGTAGTCTGGATAATGATTTTGACGAAAAATCGGATAATACCTGATGCGGAGGAGCATAGTCCGATTGATATTCGATCTCATTTCTTATGATTCGAAGGATGTTGGACCGGAAGGGAGAATTCGCCGTCGCGATCGCGGCGTAGGATCGCCGCGAAGGGAGAAGTGAAGTTGAGGTGGTGATGTCTTGTGATTGTAACGGAGATTTACATCGAGCCCAACAAAATAGTGATCTTGAGGAAAGAAATGGAGAATGACATGGGGAAATGCGAGTTTTCTGAAGAGTACGGAGCAGAAGAGCCATGGAGGTTTTCATGTTCGCTGATGTTAGGGCTCTTCGAAACAAAAGGTAGAGCTAATTGGGATGGTAGGAATTTGAATTGAGCTGAACCAAAATAAACCGAATCGAAATAGCAGAGCTAATTGGTAGGATAATGCTATTTACCATACTAATATTTTCGTTTTTAATGCATTTATATTCATAAAACAAATAATCAGTTAATACTGTTTTGGCGTCGACTTTCCCAGGAGAGGGGAAAGAAATTGACGAAGACGAACCTTAATTCGAGTCTTTGCAATCACCGGATCGAGATCCTAATAATTTTACGTCAATAACCCGATTCTCCGTTTCTCAAAGCTCTCGATTTTTTTGTCGCGATGAATTGAGTCGTAAAAACTAAGAGATGTTTTGCAGAAACGTCTCGGTGAGGCGGAAGAAGAAAGCTGGTTCGGTCCCTGTTCGTCTCAATGTTTACGATTTAACACCAATGAATGTTTACGGCTATTGGCTCGGAATCGGGATCTATCACTCTGGTCTTGAAGGTAAATAATTTGGTTTTTTTTTTAATGATCTTTGTGTGTGTTTTTCTCCAATTCCAAATTCTGGGTTTGATTGTTCTTGACTTCCGATCAATAGAAACGGAAATCCTTTGACAGTCTGGTTCGATTTTCTCACTGAATTGGGGGAATATAGCTAAGAAATATTATCATTCCCGTTTCTGTATTGCCGCTTGGTTTCTAAGAAAGTGTTGAAGGATCGGATCATTTTGGATCAGAAATTAGAAGTGATCAACTTTACTTAGGGAGATGAACAAGATATTTTTTTTGCTGTAGAATTGACTTTTGATCCTCCTGGAATTGACTTGAAAAGTGTGAGGATAAATGTGATATCTCAATCTGGATTTTTGATGATAAGAACGTAATCTGAAGTTTTTGTTGTTGTTTTCTTGGTTGAATCAATTGCGCAATAAGTTGTTGTTAAAAAAATCGGATTTTGAATGTTTCTGTTGCTTTCATTGATCAACGGATCAAGAACTCATTTGTTCTTTCTTGGTTATATGTTGTTTGTAGTTCATGGGGTTGAATATGGATACGGGGCACACGAGCAACCAAGCAGTGGAATTTTCGAAGTGGAGCCAAAGAAGTGTCCTGGTTTCACCTTCAGGAAATCGATTCTGGTGGGCGAAACAGAGATGAGGGCGAAAGAAGTTCGAAGCTTTATGGAGAAACTATCAGAAGAGTATCAGGGAAACAAATACCACCTCATCACAAGGAACTGCAACCACTTTTGCAACCATGTTTGTTTAAAACTAACTCAGAACGCAATCCCTAGTTGGGTCAATCGGCTTGCTCGCTTAGGTAACCGAAACTTCCTCATCATTGAAATGAATCAGAATGTTTCAGGGGATTAAAGAAGTGAATACTTTTTTTTTTTATCAACTGTAAGGTTTCCTCTGCAACTGTGTTTTACCGGCTAGCTTGAACGAGACTAAAGTGAAGCGGGTAGGAAAAGACGGGAAGCTCTTGGAAGGAGAAGATAAGAAGAGGAAGAAAAAGAAGAAGAAGAAGGCGAGAAGCCGGTCAGGTCCTTTAGCTTCATCTTCGTATTCTTCTAACTCAAGATTAGATGATAATATTCCTTCACATATCAGATCAAGATCAACGGGTGATCCTCCTCCTTCTTCTTCTTCTTCTTCTTTTTGTTCTCTGACAAAACAACGAACGGGTGATCCTCTTCATTCTTCTTCTTCTTCTTTTTGTTCTCTGACAAAACAAAGACATCAAGTTCCTCCTGTTCCATCTGGAACTCAAGTTCATAAAACTCCAACCATAAGCGTTCAGACATGATTCTATTTGAATATTTGAACAGCTAATTATAGTTGTATATGATTGTGAGGGTGTTTTTGCCTTGTGCTTTATTACAAGTTACAATTTATCCTCTGTTTTTAGTCCTTTTGGGTTTACTTTGTATAATGTGCTTATAGGTGAATCATGAAGTCCTTTTGGGTTTACTTTGTATAATGTGCTTATAGGTGAATCATGAAGTGTGAATTCTACATTTCTTTTTGTATATTTATTGATGTGATTTTCGAAAATTGGACTAGTTACTTGTTTAATGTCATCCAAATTACTTGACCCAAATTTTAATGGGCCTTAGCCCTAGGCTTTATAGTTTGAAAATCACATGATCACCCACTATAAATACTTAACAGAGTACACTTTTCCGCATCTACCTTAAAACCCTAATTCCCAGTTTCTCTTCACCACTGTATATTTTTGCTCATTCTCGTTATGGTATTTTTATTTGTAGAATCAGAATGGAACTTTTGATTTCCTCATTTCGATGATATTCTACTTCCCACTCGTATTCTGTCTAATTGGCAGCATCACTCTCATAGATCTGACTCACTTGATTTAGTTGTTTAATTGGTGATGATACGATTCATGTTGATGCTTCTTTCTCAAATTTAGTTTTGAAAGTGTTTTTCTTTTTCCTTTTGGAGCGTTACGAAAATCCCTACGATGACTTTTTATGAGTAAAAAATGTTAAAAGTAGTCTGATCTTATTGATGAAACTTTCAGCTCTGAGGGATTTTTAACTGCTTCTTTCTTTGTTCTTATATGATTATGAATAATTTGGTGGGTTTTGGTTTGTTTGATTGAAGGATACAATATGAATTTGTGTTGCCTTTAGTTGCATCCCAATGATGATGAATAATGAAAAAAAAATGTTAAAAGTAGTGACTGATTATATCTTGACGAATAATCAATACTGAGGGATTTTCAACTGCTTCTTTCTTTGTTCTTATATGATTATGAATAATTTGGTGAGTTTTGATTTGTTTGATTGAAGGATACAATATGCATTTGTGTTGCCTTTAGTTGCATCCCAATGATGATGAATAATGAAAAAAAATGTTAAAAGTAGTGACTGATTATATCTTGACGAATAATCAATACTGAGGGATTCAGCTATTATTTTTCATCGGTTTTTTTTCAATATTTCATCTTTTGTCATTTAATTGAGACGCATTTTTTGTTGCATCACTGATAAAACCCGAGAGAAGTAGGTGACCGATAACTGCTTGACGAAAATCTTCAGATTTTGAGGTGGTTTATTTTCTTCTATCAAGCTTTTTCATTTTCGTTTCCTAGAATGTTCAAACGCAAATTATTTGGGTGCTTCTTTCATTAAATCTTTAGCTTCTGTTTTCTAATTCCAAATATTGTTCCATTTGTTTTTATTCATTTCTTGTGTACAATCAAGATTCTCCAATGCTATGCTCTAGATAGTTTCTTTGGAGTGCTTGAACGAATGAGAAAAGAGATTGATAAAATTGAATGCACAGATTCAGTTGTGCCCCGCAGATATATGATTCGGTGTCGAATGTGATCACATTTCTCAGTCGAAGGAAAAAAATTTCATTTGCAAAACACTTGCAAATGTGTGATCCTACGCTCTGCAGAATCAAGCTGATATTGTAATTGCTCGTCCAAGAATGTTTCCCTTTCAAATTTATTTCCAGATCTTCTGTGATAGTGTGATTGGATTGTTGTAATTTAGATAGACGATCTCCTTTTAATAAATGAACCTTGTAGTTATGTACCAAAACGGTTTATTTTCACGCATACTGTATATTCGTCAAAGGGTTGAAACTTGCCAAGGAATTTTAAATTTTCTGAAAGTTATAAGTTGAAAAGTTGTTTTGAAATTTTGCGTTGACGTTATAGAATAGACATTTACTAGTTAATAATGTTTTTGAAGCCAATGTATAATGTAGGGGTTTTATCTTGACAAACTTGTAACTCAAGTACCCCTCAAACAACATACCAAACTATATTTTTCCAAATTCATGATAAAAGTTTGTTGCTAGGCGCTTCTTGTTCTTTGTGTATCGACATCTTACATTTTGTTTAACCAGATTAGAAAATCGTAATTTAGAAAACCTTTTAAAAATATTGAGTTGACATAGGAGAAGAGTGTATTGATAGTAGATATCAAAATCTGTTGTAATATCATCAGAACTAAATCATAGAAAGAACAATGAAGAAAATAACCCTCACATTGATGGATTTTTTGGTGGGTAGATTAGAACAAGAAGCGATAATGACAATATAGATTTTTTTTTTATGTGTAATTGAAAAGAATAAGGTGGACATATAGAAAAGAGAGATGCTAGATTTTTTCATTACAAATGATGAAATGGCCCTTTTTTTGTAAATGAGTTAAGAACAACCATAAAAAATTGAGCTTAGTGGGCCTCAGGCCGAAACAAAATATTCGAAGCCTTAAAAGATATCAGTCATATAAAAAGCCCAGCCTATACTTGGCTAGGGTTTCGTGTTATAAGTTAAAGAGGTTAGTCGCCACTTCTCCTCGTTTAGCTTCGCTCCACAGCTGCAAATCGCACGACTTCAAGATGGTAAGCCTCCCTCTTTCGTGATTCTCCATCCTTATGTCAATCAATCGTTGGTATCTCCTGTTAGGATTGAATTTAGAGTTTGATGTTTGGTTAGAAAATCGAATGAAATTACTGATTTTGATTTCTGTTGCTCTGCGAATAAAATGAAATGTTAACAGCCGTCGCACAAGTCGTTTATGATCAAGAAGAAGCTGGGCAAGAAGATGAGGCAAAACAGGCCTATTCCTCACTGGATTCGTCTTCGTACCGACAACACAATCAGGTTCGACAATTTCTGTTTTTTTTTGCTTCCCGATCTCTTAGTTAGAAATGTGTAGTTCTTATCGTGGGTCAATTTAGAGCAGAGACAGTGAGTGATTTCTGAAACCAGAAATGTTTTTTGTGAGTGAGTAATGAAACTAGAAATGTTTGTGTTCTAATGGATTCTTGTTTGTTTTTCAGGTACAATGCCAAGCGCAGGCACTGGCGTAGAACCAAGCTCGGATTCTAAGTGCAAGCTTTTTCTAAAAGATTGTTCTTTTCTGTTGGGTTTAGCTTTTCCCCAACTTTTCTGGAATTAAGTTATGAAATTTTCACTTCTCTGTAAGACTTTAATCTCTTATGATTGATGTTACCAAAAATTCTATCTTATCATTGATATCCTCTGTGATTTAAGTATCTTGTCTCTTTGTTATGGTTTTAGACTTCTGAATTAAAGAAAAATATCCGTTTCCTTTCACTAATCTGTGGCAGAAGCTTTCGAATATCTTATATCAGTCTGATTTTTGATTGGTTCTGATTATGTAATAGTTAGCTCGTAACACCTTTGTCTCGGTTTCTTTACATATCAGGCGATGTAGACAATATCAGAAAGATAGCATTACCAAACACAAATTGAGTTGAGCCGGATACTATGAAATTATAAAAATACAACGTTATACTTAGGTCAAGAAGCTAAGTAATAAGTAAAGTTCTTCTATAACTCGATGGGAGTCTCCCAATACAACAATGCCTGTGAAACACAAACAAATCAAAAGGTTCCTCGACAAAATGTCTAGCAATGGTGTGAGCTAGCTTATTAATTTTTTAGCCATCTGGTTACAATCAATATCAAGACGAAGCAAAAATCAAAGTTTGTTTCTTATTGTCATCCTACTGGGATGGAGAACTCAGCTTACGTTATGGTAAGAGTCGATGATTGCATCAGCAAGGTACTCGCATTTCGCCAGAGACAATCCGGCCAACGATATCCTCCCGTCTTTAGTCATGTACACATGCCACTTGTTCGTCATGTTATCGCTCTGCTCGTTACCAAAAAGAAAAGATACAAACTTCAAGACCCCGAAGTCTAAACAAAGCCAAAGATATGAATGAATCTGAGTAGTAATCACACTTTGAGCATACCTGAGCTTTGTTGAGGCCGGTGAAAGAGAACATGCCAATTTGCTTCAGAATGAAGGACCAGTCCTTGCCGCTCTTGTCTTTTGAAACAAGGCTATCGTACAACTTCTGTCTCACCGTCTTTATTCTTCCCGCCATCATTTCCATCTCTGCTTTCCATTCACCAAACATAGCTGCATCGCCCACGACGTTGGCCACGATCCTGGCTCCATGAACTGGTGGGTTCGAGTACATAGGCCGAGCAATCCTTTTCAACTGGCTCTTGACCCTGAAAGAAAGCATTGTTACTTGTAAAGTTTCTGTAATCCCTGTAGCTAGATATGGTTCTTGACGCTAAAAGGCAATCAATAGACAAGAAAACCGGAGTGAGTTTTTACCTTGTAGCAGCATCGGCTGATGAGCACACGACATTGATTGCACCAATTCTTTCTGCATAAAGACCCAAATTTTTACTATATGACTGAGCAACGAAAAACTCCATTCCCCGGTCGGCAAATAATCTCACAGATGCTGCATCTTCATCAAGGCTTCCACTAGCAAAGCCCTGGAAAACAGGTGCATATAAGTTGATACGTATCCGCTTTCAGAAACTCGGAATAGTAAGAATGTGAAAGTACCTGGTATGCAACATCGAAAAATGGGATATGGTTCTTTTCCTGAATGACATCAGCAATTTTTACCCACTGTTCTGGTGTTGGGTCAATTCCAGTTGGGTTGTGAGCACATCCGTGAAGCAAAATGAAAGATCCTTCTGGAGCTTCCTGTACAATTTACAAAGCAGAGATTGTTTTTGGATCGTATAAAATTCAAAGATTGAGTAACTAGGAAAGCAATGTTGATCAAGAACAAACGAACCTTTATATCTGCTATCATCCCCTCAAAATCCAAACCAATTGTTTTTGGATCATAGTACCGGTATTCAGACCACGGAACTTTGGCATCGTTGAAGATATTCTTGTGATTACCTGAAGTAGTAGTAGTTTTAGTGTCAGTAGATAAAAGCTGTTGCATATGAAAGAGAAATACACAAATATATATATATATATATATATATATATATATATGTATATGGTCAAGGCAATGCACCCCATGTTGGTGCTGATATCAGAACTTTTGCTCCGGGAAAATATCGCTCAATAAGAGCCGCTGCTAATCGCAGTGAACCTGTTCCGGAAAGACCCTGAATCGTTGCTACCTGGTGAGTTTAGAGCCAAAGGAAATGAATTAGCTAGAAAAGAGAAAAGTGAGATTACTTAAGTCATAGCTCAGAAACAGTAACATCAAGAGAAAACATAAACACAAGATGCATACATACTTTTTGTTCTTTAATAACAGGATGACCAGCTCCAAACAGCAGTTCAGCGGTGGCCTTGTTGAATGCTGCCAACCCCTCAATTGGGAGATACTGCAGTTTTCATCCAAGTGGAGTAAAATTCAAGCATATATGATCTAATTGCTCGTATAAACATTTTCAGGTAAAGTAATCTACCTCTTTGTTATCTCCTCTCTCCAACATCAAATTCTCCGCCTGTAAAGAAAAATAGTCAGGAGATTCATTCACATGAAGCAATCTGACAAAACTAATAAAAAAACATGAATGAAGATGAACATGAGCTAACAAAATCCAACCTTTTTAACAACATTAAGCACATAAGGCTGGAGTTCCTCAGTTCGATAAGCCCCAACACCGAGATTGAGCTTAAGCTCGTTAGTGTCTGCTTTGAATGCTTCGCTGACTCCAAGAATAGGGTCTGGTGGAGCCATGGTTATACCCTCAAAACGAGAAGGCTTGACTGCAACCGTCATAGTCACCCGGCTAAATGACTGAAACCAAACCCAATCTCTCAGATACGTTAAGACAGATTTACAAACTACACTTGCTACACTAATAACATTATCTGACTCTTTAAGATTATCTGATAGACTATCTAGCTCCACAGGAGTTTTGTTCAGCTCTAAAACGTCGTCAGATTGTTTCATATGGTTCAGGTTCGAGCAATAACAAAGTGAAGACACAGTACCTTTGCTTTCAGGAACGGGTTCGAACCGGAAGTTCCAAGTTTTAGCTTATCCTGTTCAAGTTCAATCGAAAAAACAAAAATCAAGATCGGCGGTTTATTCATTGCTCCAAAGGAAATTAGTAATACGAACAGAGAAACAGAAAACAAGTACCTTGTTAACCTCGCGCGGTAACAAAGAAGTAGAACCGAGAGATAGCATTGACGAAGCCATGGAATCGCTACGGAACAAAAAGCTGCACAGATCTCAAAATCAGTGAACTAGTACGAGGATAAGCCAATTCCGACAGATATATGACGATGATCCACAGAAGATAATCACAAAAATTAAAGGGTTCAGATAAGGAGATTTTGAAAACAAAAATTCCTTTTTTATTTTGACCGAGCTGATTTGTTACCTGAATTTGGTAAGAATCGCGCGATTTCGAGACGATCAGATCGAGATTAAAGAAAGAATACGGATCAATTCACCTAGAGAGTGACGACGATATGTACGAAGAAGATGTTCTAGGCTTGTCTTGATAGGGATAAAATGGTCATTAGATAGTGTTCAAAAAATCTATAGGCCTAGAAAGTACACACAGTGGATTCTGGATAGTGGTTGGATGACTTTCTATAAACACTTCAAAGCTTTTGTCAAAGAGATATTTGTTAAGTTAACCCATAATTATTGAATATATTTACTTGGTGGAAAATGTGTGACAACAGAAATTTATTATATAAGAGCAATTTACAGATACAGTAATTAGAAGTGAATACCCATGGGAAACTTCTGTCCTCACATTTTTACCCCAAGAGTTCTCAAGTAACCAGATCAATCCCTATATATAAGAGAAAGAACCATTGTATTTTGCTTTAGGAGGATGACTGTGTTAACCGGAGAGTCCCTCCCAGCTCTACCGGAACCAGTGGAACAAGTGAGTGAAGAACATCGGTTATCAACGGTCTGTAACTCGGTTCTGGCTGCACACAAAGCACTGCCACTGCTGCTACCTGAGGAAATAGTTTCCGGTTTGATTCTCGATTCAACAATAAATAATAAGCATTCAATTGGTTTTAGTTTCGGACATTTTTGCTAAAGTTTAACCAGAAAAGATTATTCAAACCTGGTATAAATGCTTATGATCCATTGTATCTTTGATAACTGGATCCACGATTTTGGGAAGCTTCGATCTATCCGTAAGTTGGGGCATTGCCTGCAAAGTTTACACGCATGAACCTATCACCTATATTGCATTCTATTGGTGTACTTAATGGCAATAAGTAACATTGACCCAAACCGGACTTACCCAAGTGACAAGAGATTGACATTGAACCGAACTCAATTTCTCAACCGGCCGTCTTCCTAGCAAGAGTTCAAGTAGAACCACCCCGAAAGCGTACACATCACTTTTATCCGTCAATTTTCCTGAGCCACCATATTACGAAAGATATAAACATGTTTTAAATGAAACAAAGTCGGTATAGCCGTAATTTAACCGGTAGTCCCCGTTTTGGCGACCCAGCAACCGCTATCGCTAGCCAAATAATGATATTCCCATGTGATTAGTTGAAATAAAAACATCAAAATGATTTGATTTACAATGACAATTTCAGACGTAATAAACACAGAAATTTAATGTTTATGGGGTCACATAAAACACACATTATGATAACTATGGGCTACACAAATCTAAACTCATGATAATTGATAACGAGCAAAAAATAGATGGAAATGTTGATGTTTTACCATCTAGGAGATATTCTGGAGCAACATAACCAAGTGTCCCGGATAGTTTAATGTTGCTCTTGCCGTGCACCCCGACCGTTACCGCAAGACCGAAATCCGAAATCTGAACGTTGTATCGTTAGAGACAGAAATCAATAAAAGAAAAATATGTTTTGAATTGTTTGCTGAAGCACAGACAAATGATTCTTGAATTCAAAGAAACAAGAACCAAGATTTAAGACTATGAATCATGTTTGGTTAACTCTAGTTTGGTTTGGTTTGGTCCTGGTTTCTGGTTTAGTCGTGGATACAAACTCCAAACAAAAAATCATCTTCAATGATTTAAGTTAAATACCTTGGCGTTGAAGGAAGAATCAAGGAGAATATTAGACGATTTAATATCTCTGTGGATAACCGGAGGACGACAACGTTCGTGGAGATACTCTACACCTCTGTTTCCAAACAAACAATAAACGGTTTACTTAAACCGTGATTACTTAACCAATAGACTAAAACCGGTAGAGGGGATATTGTTAAATGAGGGCTCTTGATTGTACC